TTTATTGCTTACTGTGAAATGTGTTAACATAACATGACATACAACCATTTTACTTGACCCCCACGCTCCCCCTCGTCAATTTGATCAATAGTTTAACATCAAATAGATGGATATATAATTATACTTTGGTAACTGTGTAACATACCTGTGTAGTATGTTTAATTTAAATCTTTTTCTTTAATGTCGGACTGGGAACGTGGTTGACGTTGAGCTTTTATAATAATAAGTTTTACTACTTGTACTCTATGTTAACTTTAGCTAGGTACTTCGCAAAGATTGATCATTCTTATAATTAGATGCTGCAAATAAGCTTAGTTCTTGTTAATTTACTTAACAAGACTTTCGCAAAGCTCGTGGCTGAGCGAATAGTGAATAATATTTTCAGCTTTAATGAGGCTTGGCTTGTTTAGCTTTGCTGACCTTTTAACCTGGATTTGTTTTAACCAAACATGCATTTACGAGCTCGTCGCTAGATAGATCGCGAACTAAAGTCGTTTAACGTGACATTAATGCAACAAAAAGTGTGCTTTTATATTAGTTATTTATCGGTTTTATATTTTGGTTGTTTTGTTTTAAATGTTGTTACGCAAACAAATAATTGGCTAATTTCCATATTATTTTTCTAACCTTTTATTTATTTCTTCTAAAACATACTCCTTGGTAAGTGGGGAACTGAGAATTGTGGAAATTGGGAAACTGACGACGAATCGTTATGACAACTTTAGAAGTGTTGATGCCGATTAATGTAGAAAAAAATAAATTGTGAAAAGTAAAGACTAATAATATATTAACCTTCTCTCTTCCAACAACCAGCTCCATCTTTCGGACCACTGTTTACGACAAATCTCCGCCTTCTTCCATTGAGATCTCATTTGAAAGGCTTCTCTGTTCGGGTCAAATTTTGATATCACTCCTAGTTCCTTCGCCATGGTGGACAGCCCTAAACATATGATAATTTGGACTTGTTTAAGATTTCGAAGCATTGTTACATTCTGATTTCATACAAAATTTTGAACAAAAAGTCAAGATGTCAACTTATTGTTTGAGATGAGACCAATTTGTTTTTTTTAAATACACAGAAATTCGCAGCGTTAAATATAATCCCATTATAACAGTACTCAAACTACCGCAAAAGAATAATTTATCGCATGCTTTTGTATACATAATTATATAATAATGGAAGTACTGAGACAAAAGACTTTCAATGAAGATTCAATAACTTCATTGTGCATTGGAATTTGCGTGGCATCAGTATTTCAACTATCAATACATTTCGTTCCGTTTATAATGAAACTAGCATTAAGTTAGTTTTACAATCGCTCAAACGTGAATCGCCATGAGAATCTAGAAGTCGAAGTGGGCCAGATATTACAAAGAATGCTAGGTGGTTGCGGAACCAATACGCAACTTAAATAAGTGTTAAAGTTAACTTGACCACTGCACTACCTTTAAAGGCAGCAAGTAGGCCGATTAGAAAGTAAATTTTGATAATATGAAAGAGTGTACATTTTAGTTATAGACAGCACGTCTTTTTATTGTGTTTCTGAATAATGTTACGATTGTTATAGGCGATTCTAATTTTACTGACTTTCAATAGAATAGAATCTGACTGTAGTTGCTCGTTATACAGCGTGTCGTTACCATCGCGACAATAAATGAACACACGTCTAACGCTACTTGCCAATAATCATAAAAAAATATTAACGTTAAAAAAATCCATAATTAAAAAAAAATATTTTTCAAACAAACTTAATTAAGTAAAAAAGAAACAAAATTTGTAACATACTATACATCTCGCGCCACAGCGTCGCATTACAAGCCTCTCCTTCTAACAGTATGTTTTGTCTCTTTTAAATTCCTTCAACCCATTCATATGCTTTGTGACCTTTAGAAATGAACTTTACGTTATAGTTTTATACGTAAGGCTGTTCTAAAATTCTTTGTTTTGGAAAGTTTGATCACTCGGTAAATATTGATGTTTATAGAATGTAAATCTTTAATACAATTTTAAAAAGTTATCCTCTATATGTGTGTTAATTTATTGTTGCCATTGTAAAGACACGCTGTATATTAAATAATACGTTAAATAATATGTAGTTCAGAATATGAGGAACTCGTGTTCTGTAAAATGTCGCTGATTATTCATCCAAGCTTCCTTTTCATTTTTGAAAACGTGTAATATGTCCTGAAATCTTTATCGCAAAATACCATCCAAAAATTATTAAAAATATAATGTTAGTATAATTGTCAAGGAAAGTTCCAAAAAAGGGTATAATTTTGGGGCAAGTATTGCATATTGGAAGAGTGATTGTTACTTGGTGCTTTAAAAACTTTTTCTACATACCTGTACCTGCTATCTGTGTTGTAGTTTAAACACTGTAGACAAAGGCTTTTATCTTAATTGAAATCAGTTTACCGTCTAAATTAAAAAAATAAATCTAAAACCTTCCCGAATTACACTTCAAAAACGTTTTGATTTGAGGATGACAGTTAAAATAATTATAAATGAAGGCAGTACGAGTACGTAACTTAATATAGTGAGCGTAACTAAAAAGGTTAATTTCGTCAGATTTACAAATGTTGTTTCTAAAAATAATTATAAAAAATTTCAGAGTTTAAGATTTTGTTCATAAATGAATTACAAACATTTATGACAAACGACACGGCTCAAAACTTACTTGAGTCTGCACTAGCCGAGCAATCGTAAAATTCTTTTAAATTTTGTCCCGTTTAAAACTTTTGAACTTTATTATCCTAGAAATGTTTAAGTGTGTTTTTGTTGCGCGACTTTTCCTCGGTAGAAGACAGAAAGAGTGGTTCCTTCTCTACCATCCTCTACTATTACCTGTTCCCTGGACTAAGCATGCATCCAGAGTGGGCACAATGAGCCTACACGGAGCGGCCCTCTCGGGCCGCCCTACACCACAGGCCGGCCAAGTGTGGGTTCCTCTAGGTTCGGCATTGGTAACTAAGCCACGGCTACTAAGCTCTTCCTACACGGCAAGACGGGAACCCGGTCGGAGGGGAGCCACAGTGTGTATATGCCCAGAAAGCGAGGAGTTATCTGTTCACAGTCGCTTGTTGGGTTTTTAGATTCGGACTTACTTTACGACGATCTTTGTGAAGCCGTGGTACTTCCCCGGTACATTCAGCAACTCTCTACCACAAACTAAATATACCTACAAATCACAACGAAAGAGGGTGAACTTATCATAAATTGTCAGGCATACCTAGCAACGACAAGCTTCTTCCTCCTCACCTTCCCGTGGCTAATTGGTAGCTAATTGGTTCCAAAATAGACATTTAATATAATGTCATATGACATTGACTAATAACTAATAATATAAAAATCACTAATTCTTATAAAATATTCCGAAATATCTTAATATCCACACTAAGCATATTTTTAATTTTGTCGAAAGTTTCTTAATAATTATGTAGTCCTGCCTTTGAAATCATTCAAAAGAATAACATTATAAATTAAATAATTAGATAGTCCACGTATTTTACTAAGTTGAGAAAGTGTTATAGTTTTAGGCCGATTTTCATTCGACATACAGAAGTTGAAATTCATTCTTATGCATTTTGAAATAGACAGGTAAAATAAATAAATATAATCGCAGCTTCGAGCACTTCTAATTTTTCAGCGAGACTCAGTTTTCAGTTTATGTTTCACAGCACTCATGTTTCAACAATTTCAAAACTTGTATCTTGTATTAACTGATGTTTGTGATTTCAGTCCCGAGACTATTAAAGCTTCATCTGACGCAGAACCAGAACCCATGGGTTTGGGCCCTCCGCTGTGGGTAGGGCCGCGCATGTGCTCATGCGTGCATTTAACTACGGCAAGTCATCTAAGAGCCATCGAGGTTGCGGTGCGGACCGAGACCCCGATGACCGTTGACTGTGTTTTTAGCTAATCGGTGGCTGGGGGTGGTGAGAACCGCCCTGGAACGCGGGTGTGGAACCTCGTGCGCGTTGTGTTGGTCTCGCCGTGCTTGGAGGCGAGGGCGAACTAATGTGTTTGTTGCTACACTAATTGTGTGTGTAGTGTTATCCGGTGGGACCCGCGATGGTGGATCCGACGTACCTAAGTCCCTTTCCTCGACCGGGTCGATGAGGACGTTTCGCGGGCGACGCTTGTTGACGCTCGCGTTTGAATCTTGTTGGTAAATTGCTGCGCTTACCACCAGAGGGTTGGAATAATTTTCGGCTCTATCGAAGAACCGTTTGGTCAGGTCTTTGAAAAATTCGCGAATTTCAAAACTGTTATACATATTGATGTGTATTGCAGTAGAAACAAACTACTTTTGACAATATTTCACTTGACAACGAATGACAAAGAGAATGTAATCACTACGTTTACGAATGATTGCTCGGTTGAATTCTTAGTCGGTAACTTATTTTTCTTCGAACTATAGAGGTAATGAGTGTCAAATAATCGAGTTGTAAAGGTTGTAAAATAAAAAAATGTTCGATATACAGATGAAATTAAATTTTTCGAGCTATGAAGGGAAAATATGTACCAAAATGGCTTGGAGGGACTCACTGATGATTTCCACAAATAGAGGGTTGAGATTTCGAGTAATGGAGGTTTTAGTGTTGGAAGGGTAGGGAACAAAACATTTTTTCGAGATTTAGAGGTTTCAGACTTATCGAGGTTCGACTTAACGAGGGTATATATATATATATTATATATAATCGAATATCGAAAACGGTTCCAATGATTTTCTTGAAATTTAGAATGCGGGTTCCGGTCCCGAAATTAAAAGACCACGGTTTAAGTGAATTTTGGTTTTCTATTCTTGTTTTCTTTTTTTTTTCGAGTCCAGATAATTTTTTCATGTTGTTTGTTTTGTGAGAAAAAAATCAAGAAAAGCTCGGTCAACCAGATACTTTTAATCTATAGATGTGTTGGCGTGGTCTGAAAGTACTAACAGCATATTTTCCTATTTATTATCAACTTCTTCAAATTTATTAAATTAAAAGCCATTCCACAGGGTCTCCTTTGGCAGCTCGAAGGGGTCGATGGTTGAGACCCTGATTTACGAGAGCCCCCTGCAAGAGGAGCCGGAAAGCAGTCCGCCACCTAATGTGCAAGAGACATCATTTCCTTACACACCCGTTGAAGACGAGTACGTTATATTCATTTAATGAGTATGTTTTATTCATTTCCATTAAGACCGGTATGCAGCGAAACTTATACCCGATTTATAAAGCGAATTATTAAACATAGCTGAGTACATATCCTTTGCATTAAATTGTCACGTTAATACTTTTATAATTGACCAGATTTTCTTTTCTTTACGAACTTGGTTGTTACAACAAAATTTAAAAGTAATAAGTTCCCCGAATAGAAAATGGTTTACACTCAACTTTATAACGCTTTTGTCAATTTAGAAAGCATTGCTTTCAAGCACTAGTCTAAGCTTTACAGTTTTAACTTCAATGGCGACGAAATGAAATAATTATAACTAGTAGTCTAGTACAAATTTCGTTGAGTTTTACAACAAGTAACTTATTCATATCAGTGAATGGTAAAACACTTGAAACATCTCTGGTGTTGTCATTGTACCTACCAGTAAATTATACATAAGGGTTATAAGGTTAAGATATTCAATAAATTAATTGAGAAGTATAAAATGTACCTAATTTATGTTAATCCTTGTGCTTTTCGGTAGATTTATAATATAAAAGTAACTCGAATTCAATATGTTTATTATTGTGTTACGGTAAAATTTGCTTCTGCAAAAGCGAATCTATTTATGCATTTTATATTATTTTGTATAATTATGTGACACAAATTTGGCCGACGACCGTGACCGTCGACATTTTTATAACAATAAACTTCGGATTTATGTACAAGTGGGGTCATGCATATGTACTTACAGATATTGTCTTAACAATATGGATAAATTGTACAATTTCATAATACAGAATGATTTCACCTTCACCAAACCGGGATCTCACTGGGCACTTAAATGGCGGCCACTATATATGTATACGTAGGTATTATTTTAACTGGTTTTAAAAAGTGAATGTGACACTAAGTTGTTACGCACCCAGAAAGATTCTGTATGTTATTTAGTGGATTTGGGTCTTGTTTTTTTAATAACATCTTTTAAAGATGCGTATTGTAGAAATTGTTCTTGCGATTGTAAGAAAAATTATTTTGAAAAATGTGAAATTACTATTGTATGCCTCTGAAGGACAGAATTTAATTCTGAATAAACATATACTTAGTTGATATATTTAATTCCTATCATATTAGACATGCCTAACGTTGACGAAATTATCAAACCATAGATGCTTAAAATGTTACAAAGATATAAGATGTATGCCATTCGCCATTAGTCATAATTTTTATCGGTTTAAATTTAAAGGTTTGAATGTTTAATTAATTATTTTTATAGTATGGAGTTGACTCTTTGAAGAGTTTAGTATTTATGTATCAAAGATTCAAAAAACCTGCCTGCGAAATATTTTCTAAATTTTAATAATTTCATACTTAAGTATGTACATACAATTTACTTACGCAATGGCGTGAGGGAATGGTATTAAATAAGTCGCCCTCCTCTCCTCAAATCGATAAATAGGTGGGACAACATCTCACATGCAGATGTGTTGACAGGAAAACAGATTTATTTATTACAAATATTTCTTAGCATTTTCTCTGAATGAAGAAAAGTACAGTAAATCATTCAATATAATTCATCTCTAAACTGCGTTCGGTTTTTATTTTAATCTGATCACCAGATTATACTACGTATTCCATATTGCACGTTAAGGTTAAAATTTTCAGTTTTAAAGAGTTTTTTCAGACCAATTTAGTAAATTATGTTACTAGTTACGTTTTAAAATATACAAATTAATCTTTTATATCTAATATAATAACATTAATATGATATAGCATTGAAAATGATAACATGAGTTTATCAATGTATAAGGTCTCCTCAAACCTATAAAAATCGTACTACTAGTGAAAAGAATATTAGTAATTATTGATATATAGTTAAGCGAAAGCAATGTAGTATTTATGATTATGCCGATAAATAAAAATATTAAATTTAATCTTAAAATCTTTAAAATTACTGCTAAAATTTGATCTGGTCATATATATATAAAAAGTATACATCACTAGAATAAACAATTATTCAAGATTTAACTTAAATTAAGATAAATAATCTTTCCTTTAATAATTGTGAATAATCACTCATTCAAAGAACCAATCAATAGCTTTAACATTATGACTCAGGCTATTATTATATATCTATACAGGACAATTGGATTCATTATAATATTTATTTAAATACAAGTTTCGTAAATTGTATGTTACTTTTTATAACTTAATAATTGGAATCACTATTTTATATGTTATACGGTAACGACGATTTCGCTATAGCAGGAAGGCGCTAAATTACGTCACTAAACGAAACGAGCACGAATGGCGCTGCTTGCTTCGCTTCGCTCCATTCGCTATGGTATGGACAGGACGGTGCGCCGCTTCCGACCGAGTCCGAGTTCTCAGTTCTGAGATCGATGTTGTGAATGTGAAGTGAACGTTGTAGTTGAATCGCTGTTGTGACGCGTCGTGCGGCCGAACTTAGCGCTATCTGCGCTCAGATTGTTCATTTATACAATTTTTGCCAATTAGTTCTTATTTCCTCTGAAATTAATATATATAGAAAAGTCTAATGTCAATTGTGATTTCGTGAATACCTACAAGGTACGTTATTTACACCGTTCACGTCATTTTTGTTGTGCTGCGCACTGGGTGTTCTCTTGCCAATGATTTCTAGATCTTTTATTTTTGTTACTGTTGATCAGAATATGTTATTACAATGCTTCTTTGTCCGGAAAAAAATCCATCGTCATTTTTTTTATTGTTGCTGAAAATTGACATGAACAGTTTTCATTGCGACGAGAATTCTGGCGGTATGTATGACGTCACGAGAACTGAATTATAAACATAAAACGACTTTCGGTTCCATCCAGCAGTCGGGAGTACAAGGTCATCACTCAGCACATACATTTAGTAAACATACATTGGCATACGTTTCAGAATCTCTATTTATAATGAGTGCATCACTGATCATATCCCTAACAGAAGACCCGCCCTATGCCACCCGTAAGGTCGGCTTACCGCTATTTCGTCGCCGTTTAGCATTCATTGCTATTAAATTATTTTTGTTTTATAACCAACTTGGTTTCCCTTTACTTTTCAATATTTATAGTTTTTATTATATTATTTTATAAATTATAAAAACTATAAAAACTTGTATCTTGTATAGACATAAAATTGTATTATACATTATTAAATGTTTTTCTACAAGCTAAGCGAAAAAATAAGGTAAAAATTTTATTTAAATGATTTTAGTATATAAAAAAAAGTGAAATATATAGATTAAACAGGTTAAGAGTCACAGCTTAAATGAATTGTAGGTTAATAGAATTTGCTGCAATACTTTAAACAGATCATTTCACAGAGCTTATTCTCTTTTACTTAAATATTTTTTAACTTTGCTCTATTTAAAAAGTCATGTTTTACCATGCATATAGAATTTAGTTATATATATATTTTTATAAGTATACAATATGAATATCAGTAAGGTAAAAGATGAAAATGTTTGAGGTCTACCATATTTGTCAGAGTGTAATGTGTAGGTGTGTGCTATTGTCATAAGGTAATGAGAGAGAGATCTTCTTTAAATTGAATAATTTGAAGACCAATTTTCGCACTTTACCTATTTTACTTTAGTGTTTCTGCAAAGCGAATTTTGTATTTATATTTACACTAATATTAAAACATGGCATCAAATTTTTCAAATTGTCTTCAAAATTCATGTTTTTTTCACATTTGTATGTTTTATGCTATCCTTTTAAGATTTTTCAATGATTTCATGTGAATATTTATGTCATTGTTGAAAATGATTAAAATAATTGCTCACAGGTCTGAACGTTCGAAAGTACGTGTGTCATTTTATCAAGGGGCTAGACCACAGTGTCTTTCACCACCACCTTCTGTGCCAGATCCAGATTCACATATATTGTACACACCTCTACTCCCAGCTAACTCTGATATGGCCGAGCATACAATGTACAATAGGCAGATTAGGTAAGTTTTTATATATAAATTAATCAAGTATAAGCATGTATCAGGCGCTCAAATAAAAATATTAATATCAGAGAAATATTATCATTATCATGCATACTTAAAAACTAGGTACAGCTTGAAATTATCATCATTTGATTATGTGGATAGAGCTACAGATAAACACATTTTTTGCATCTCAATGTGATAATATTGTCAAGCATCAATAAGTATTAATAGGAAGCATTCAATTGATGCAATTGCCAATGATATGTTATGTAACATTTTGTCTGGAAAATTAACAATGCAAAATGTTCAAAGTGAATTTCGCTAAAAATACAAAAGTTTATATTGTCATCTCTTACAATGTCCACTACAATCTAGTTACGTTGTGATGCCTATATATTATACATACATTGTGAATAGTGAATGACATCATCCATTACATAACAATGTTACGTAATGAGGTCTGTAAAACATTTTGATTTTTTTCAATAAAAGGATTTGGTAGCTGTGAAATGTAACTGGAATTTATAGTTATATATTTATTTATATACTAGCGACCCGCCCCGGCTTTGCGGAGGTGCGATGTATTACACTATCTAGTAAAAAAACCGTATCAAGATCCGTTGCATAGTTTTAAAGATCTGAGAATAAATAGGGACAGACAGCAGGATGACTTTATTTTATACTATGTAGTGATTTAATTTTTATTGGCTCAAATAACTATTTATTGCTTCTATGAATTGCTTAAATCATTTAGATTAAGCTATTGTTTTTTTAACTAACCATTAAGCTCATATTAAGTGCTGCACCACTTAATAAATATAAATAGTATTACAGTAAACGATTACTGTAATACTATAAATATTTATTTTACATTTAAATAATTTGTTATCATTTAGAATGATATGATGCAGATAAAACTAGTAACAGTATCTAGAAATTTAATGCACTTGTTTAACCTTGCCATAACCACAAGAAGTTATGCAGTTATTCAATTCATAAGGAGGCAAGCAATTTTAGTGATTAACCCGAGGTTAATCACTAAATTGCTTGCCTTTTTTTCTTTTAACATAACATTTAATTAACTTACAACATTTAATTGGTTATATTGGAACAATGTAATCATATAATCTATACTTCAAAGTACAAGTATTACTATCAAAAGACTTACATTTTTAAGGATAATTATATATCCAGGATTATGCTCATTCTTTTCTTTGTATAATTTATACAAATTACAATGCAATTTTTCAAGATTTATCATATTATTTCTTTGTACCTTTATTTTATGTTTTAATGTAATATTTTGTTTTATATGGATTGTTTATAATTACAACTGTATAAATATATAAAATAATTATATGATGATGATTAATTTGTATATTGAATAAAATATTTGTATAAATTATGAACTTAATTGTTTACATGATTTTAATACATGTTCTACTATTTTATTTCAGCACGGAGAGTGGTTGGGACAATCCTTTCCGCCCTGATGGCGATCTTAGCCGTGAAGCAGATGAGATTGTATCTCTCATAAAAGGAGGCAAGCCTATAACTCCTACGCCAACTGCTGCACCCCAGCTGCCCATTTGTGATGAGGAGGAAAAGGTGCATGCAAATAATGTCACTGTGTGTGTTCATCATATCCTTAAACTACATAGTTAAGACATATCTTTTTTAATATATCACCTACTGTTTCGCACCTTTAAAGACAACCTTTAATTTTTCCCAGTAATTTTTTTTATAAACATTAATAAAAGTTTCACGGTGATAGGGCCACGCAGCAGTCTCGGCTGTTGCACAAGTGGGCAGGCTTGTCCGGGTGAATGTTATGACCTTACAGAAGGCATAAAGTGGAAGTATAATATAATACTTTCGCATTTCGTCTGGTGAGTGAGGTGGCCGGAGTCCAATTTTCAAAAGTTTATGAAATTCGTTTTTCATAGCACTCATATTTCAACAATTTTATTTGGTAAACTGTTGTACAAATTGATGTGTATTACAGTTGGAACCCAAATACTTCTCACGATATTTCACTTGACAACAAAAGTCTTGCTTCGCTAAAGTTGAAATGAAATCATAAAAAATAATAATAAACACCTGACAACAAGCAAGCAAACACGTGTTAATGTGAGTTATAAATTCGTGGTAATTCTATTCAGTGTATACTCCTAAATTGCTTTCTAAGTAACAATGGTGTACTTACACAGTCAGCAAATTCTTAAAGTCGGTAACTTATTTTTTTTCGATCTATAGAGGTAATAAAGTCTTAAATAATCGAGTTGTAAAGGTTGGAAATAAAACATTGCTGTTTGCATGTTCGAGATACAGAGGTAAAATTTAATTTTTCGAGTTATGGAGGGATAATATGTACCAAAATGGCTTGGAGGGACTCACTGATTATTTCGACTAATAGAGGGTTGAGATTTCAAGTAATCGAGGTTTTGGTGTTAGAAGGGAACAAAACATTTTTTCGAGATTTGGACGTTTTCAACTTATCAAGGTTCGACTTAACTGTATTACGTGAATTATCCAAAATATAACAATAAGTGTCAAGAAATAATATGAAAAAAAATTGTCATCTGCAAACTTTTCTGTTGTATAATAAAAAACTCATTGTTAATTCCCTTTGACCGCATGGGCGAAGCCGTTCAACAGTTAGTATTAACTAAATGTGTGTTTTAATCTCCTTTTATTCATTAACTACATGGTTATAATGCTTAACAGGCTAGTCTGTCATCCCCTCAAACGAAAACTGCCAGCCCAGTGCAGCAGCAGAGTCCGCCAAAAACTATGAATGGCACCAAGAATGGGGCTGCAGTGCCTGAGCTTCGTCCTGGACAAGTGGAAGTTCAACGCTCACCCCCACAAGAGCCTCTTCAGCCCGAACACGTAACCATCAAAAAGAAACCTAAGTGTAAATGCTGCGTTGTTCAGTAAATGGTTTAAAAAACCATCAGCCAATGCACCAGTAACACCCATTGCTTTATATGTCTATCATATTTTTCCACTTCGGTGTTTACTTGGTGCTATTTTATTTTTGACTTCCCCAAATGCAAATATTTATTAAATCATATATCTTACTACTTTAATTCCTATGTGTTCACTTGTACAATTATAAAAATATTACAGAGTCTGGCCTGTACTTTCATATACATTAAAATTTTTGTTAGTTATTTCACTAGTTGTATTTGATAATGTTGCCGGCTGTCATTTAATCTTTTGAAACGACAATGGATACATTTGCTAATCCTACACATGTTGTGATAAATTCTTATATTTTAGCTAGTCTTGCATGGAGAAAGAGTATGGTGTAATGATTGAAACATTTGCAGGCTTAACATCTAAGGAAAAGTACATGCAGGTATTAAAATGATACTTTTGTAATAATGTTAATAAAAAGAATCTCAAAGATGCTACATTGGGATGGAAATAGTGAAGGAAAATGAGTATAAGATAAAGAAAAATTATTATTGAAAATCATATTTACCTTTAAAATTATGTGCCTATTCAGCTCATTTCTATAGAATCAAAACATGTTAAAGTATCATATCTTTTAAAAACAACAAATAATTTATTTTAGAACTGTTGCTAAGTTGAATCTGTGTTGAATAATATTAAAACATAATTTTAATGTATATTTTTATATGTTTATTTATTAAATAAAGTATTATAATCTTAATTAATAATTGAGCTATAGTATTGGACAAAATATCAATGACTGAAATCAATTCTTAAACAAACTTGCTTTGTCAAACTATCTTAGTAAGGCTACTCTCATTATTAATAAGAAAAAGACTTGAAGATAGTCCTACAATCCATTATTTCCTTGTGTTAAAGTCTAATTGTATTATTTCAGATGTGTTTTTCAGAGCCTGTTTGGTGTATTTAACATTTTATTTTATGAAGCAAGCTAGTACATTGACAAATTGCAGATGTAGAAATTTTAATAGCAGTTATTATGACCATTTTAAACGGCTAATATTTTCACCATTATGGTGTAAATAATGTATTGATGGATTTACTTGCTGATTAGAGACATGAATACAAAATTTTAATAATATATAGTCAACGAATATGATCAATGTTGTGCTAGCTGCAGTAATTGCAATGGATGTATGTTCACTCCATATTACAATTGACTCTACTGGTTAGATTTGATATAAATATTTTAGAATCCCTGTGTACTGCCTCTAAAGTGACTACATGCTTGCGTCCAATAGAATGTACACAACTTTTCTTATTTATGATATAACGAGAGCACCTTTGCTGATCGATTTAAAATTTATTGTAGCTATTCTATTGTTTTAGAATATGATTTTAATATGTATTGTTTCTTGGTCATGTGAAGTGATAAAGGTTTGGGGTGCTTGATTGAGACTATTTGGTGACTAAGTGGTGTGACTTATTAAATACTATAAAAGTGTAGCCACATAGTTTGTATATTTCGGTACTAATTATCTACCAGGAACTTTCATGTAATGATGCTGCAAAATACAAATCATGTCAAAATTTCCTTTGTTTTCCGATTATTTGATGCAATGTTTGGTCTCTGAACAATATAAAAAAACTTCAACAAAATTTATAGTATTTAATAATGTTGGAGATGGGGGTTAGAGTCATTGAATTAGTCGTATTTTTGTAATAAAATTAACAAAGAATTAATTTCTTTAAAGAGATTTTTTTAAATTATAAAAATATAAATTGAAAATAACTGTTAAAGTATTGAATTTCAAAATACTTTTCCAATTTTACCTAATCCTATGTAAAAATATATGAATAAAACAATAAAAGTTTATATTTGCCCCTACAACTGAATAGTTTTATTAAATAGATAGGTAATTAGAATGGTAATTGTTAGGATGTATGAGTTTGTTATTGATATTTTTTAATATTGTTTTATTTTTGTTTCTCAAAGTAAGGCAGGTCCATAGGGTAACATTTCCAGAATGACTGTTTTGCAGGAACTTACAGAATTATTGATGTAAATTAATGCAAATAGTAGAAAATATTGTTTCATATATACTGTTATTAATTTATGCTACTTTAGAAAATTCATAAGGATATCCGATTACAGCTAATGCTTTAGAAAGTAATTGCAGCATACATTATTAGCTGTTTTATCTTTAGGTGAACACTGGGGGTCTGTTCAGATAGATTTCATTAGAATTAGGCAATACTAATGTAATTTGGCTGTATTAAAAATTACTACATCATCAAAAATTGCAAGCGTAATCCTCGAAACAATTTAAGGTCCATACCTATGATTCATCATGTGTTATCTTAGTGATGATCATGTTGGGGCTTGTTCAACTTGTTATTTTTAATTTTGATATTTTTACACCATGGTATTAATAAGTGCGTTTATTGGGCACAAAACTTTGGTCATAACAATTCCTGTATAGGTGGGAGTTTTAGCATTGTGAGCATTTATTTTCATTTTATTTTTTAAATAATGGTGCTTCGAGGTAGGTATTTCCTTTAATTGTAAAGGTAACATTGTTTCTTTATAATAGATTTTTTAAAGTCCTTTTTAAGTGCAATGATAGTATTTTCATCACAATGTTATGACTCTCATTTTTATGTAAAATATATTATGTATTATCTAGTATATTGATAAAATATTATGTTGTGGATGGTTCTTGGGGATGCTCTATAATATTTTAAATGCCAAACTAAAGATTGAAAACTTTCGTTTTTCTTTTTTTGTTATTGTATTTTAAAACAATGGACGAAAAAAGTTTCTTCATGGAACCTCATAATATTAGAAGTAAGACAATATTGTGATGGTATGTTTATCAGTATCACTTTTACCGCCAGAGCATATAATTTCAGTATTGTGTTAATTGAGTTGCCATGTATGTATGTACCTTAATTAAGTTTTTTATTTGCATGTAAAATCCTGTCATTAAGGTTCTGTATTTCACACAAAGATATATATTAATAACCCAGTTAAAAAGGTAACCAATAAAAAATATTTTCTCCTTAAAACTCTTAATCATGAATTATATCTGTAATTGTTTCAAATATCACATTATAGAGTTGTATGTGTAATGATTAAAATTAAATGACATATTTGTATAAAACATTTACGTTCTATTGTCAATCAATAAGTATGTACAAACCAATTACATTGTAATTATTATTTATATTAAATATTTTAAAGGCATATCAGAACATTTTTACTTAATGTGGAAACAAAATTATTCAAATCTGTATCTAGAGAAAGCTCGTCACCGCCGCATTTTACTGAACAGGTAAAATTTAACACATTACACAATCAATATGGCTATAAGTAAGCTCCTCCTATTTTATATTTGTATATTAGTTTTATTTATTTCCTATATAAAAAAAACTCCTGTAAAAAAACATATTATGCACAGAAAGCCATGAGCACAATTTTAAGACATTTCTAACTTATTTGAATTGTGTATCATTAAGCATCCCATTTTTTACCTGTCTAGATTATTACTATGACCATATTTATTTGTTATTTCCGTTATTGGGCATATGCAAGATATACATTATGTGTCAGTACATATATACATATATCTAGTGAGTTAATTATCACTGGCATATGACATTTAATAAGCATGGTTAATTTATTTAAAAAAATGGATAATTATAGGGCTATCTAATAAAACACAATATAATTGTATACATTAAATATATTGTTGATATAAATGTATATTGATATAAAAAGTGCTATTTAGTAGTCACTCTCATACAAACATTTTCTAAATGTATATAAAAATATTTGTTAAAATTAGCGCTCATTACACTACATACTTAAAAAGAGAGAAGGTAAAAATTTATCAATTGCTTGCCAATGATTATCAATTTATTCACATAGATTAGGACCGTTTTGAAAGGTTGATATAGAATTATATTGATAGAAAACTTGCATGATTACCTACGTAATTTTAATAATTTCGTTTAACTAATATTATGAGGATGATTAGTTAAAAATATCCACGATATTACTTTTCAATTATTGAGATAAGCCTGAAATAAATTTATATAATATTATTAAATTCTGGAATGCCTCAATTAAATATAATCAGTATTTAATTCTTCATTAAACTGGTTAAAGGGTGCTCATACATCTTATGTCATTACATTCAAATTTGGGATAACCGGGTAGAAATTTCTACAGCTTTGTTTAATATCAATGAGACATCCATAGGTGGAAAACTCTGTAATAACTTTACGTTTGAAGCGAAGTCCCCATGCAGCAGGTTGCCTCTTACTAATCTGTTGTAAAACAAAAAACATAAGTTATATTTACCGGTGCAAAATTCTATCTCATATATATATATATATATATATATATATATATATATATATATATATATATATATATATACACAGCCGTGATAGCTCAGTGTCTTTAATTCAATATACTCTAGCAACCTGAGTTCGATCCCCGGTGCCGGCACCAATGAAGTTTTTAACTTGTAAGTGCCGACTTATCTCGTGCTCCGCGGTGAAGGAAAACATCGTGAGGAAACCTGCATATTTTCGAAATAATAACAAAAAAAATATTTTTCGAAGATATGTGAAGTCCGCAGTTGGGCCGCGTGGTGGACTATGCCCTGATACCCTCTGTATAGAGGAAGCCTTTGCCCAGCAGTGGGACATGTATAGGCTCTTACTATACTATATATATATACAGCGTGTCTTTACAATCGCGACAGTAAATGATCACACGTCTAACGCTACTTGCCAATAATCATAAAAAATATATAAAACCGTTTAAAAACTTTAAAGTTAAACGGTTTTATTTTATGTGCACTGAAAACTACAATATTGTATTGTCATCTAAATTAAATGTGTGTACCAAATTTCAGATCAATCTGACAACGGGAAGGTGCTTAAATTTCAATTTCTAATTTTGACCCAAATAAACAAATAAATTCCGTACGGGTCGAGCTAAATAAAACCGTTTAAAAATGCGTATCATACTGTATTGATAATTTAGATACTTTTTTTTTGTAAAATAGTTTAAAATTATACGACTTAAGTGTGGTTCATATTTGGAACTAATAGGTTATAAAATTATGTATTTTTTAACATCTAAACAAGAAATCCTACATTTTGATAAAACTTCACCATCGGGACATAATATGGCATAGGGTTTAATTTAGTCATGTTAGCTAATAACAAAATAAATTTAGATGAATACATGGATTATGAGATTAAGTTATGGTTGACCCTTACAAAATCATGGCACAGCAAATGTAAATAAGAAAATCAAATCTTTGCGAGTCGGCAAATAAGGTATCCCATATTCTTTCGACGTCTGGCAAAGAAAATTCTTGAGACAATAATAATGTCAGCCATCTGAAACAAAAGTGCATGTTTTTAATTTTAACTCTAGTACCTGGATGACCGAGCTTTGCTCGGACTTGTTCTCACAAAAGAAAAATTAACTTGAAAAAAAAAACAAGAAAAAATTCACCTGAACTTGGAAAAATTAAAAAAAATGTTTCGGGGTCACCCGATTACCACCCCAGCTATTATAACTTTACAAGTGGCGGCGAAATTTACCTTCTTATATAATATACTAATGACATTTTTAATTGCTTGAAAATACAGATTAAACGACATTTTCTATAAATGAAACCTAGCTAGATCGATTTATCGCCCCCGAAATCCCCATGCCAGATTTCATGAAAATCGTATACACAAGAATTGCTCGTTTAAAGGTATAAGATATTTATGTTTTACATACACATCACAATTCATATTTACAACTACTATTTATTACATGATACAGTTATATTTAACTCTGAAGTCAATTTTCCCAATCAAAGAAATAAATAATGGCTAAAGTCGCCCACTTCAATTTTCATCTAGTGAACTGACTGCCGATTAGAATAATAATTTAATATCTGTTTTTTTGTTGTCTGTAGGTACAAATTACAATCAGCCCTGTAGTCTTGGGCTCATAGAATAGGGCTAAGGTATCCCCTGCTTTTGTAGTAAAAGGCGATAAAAATGAGACATTTGCAGCAGCACGTAGTGGTCTCGACTTCCTGCAAGATGGCGAAGATTCCTTCCTACCTTAGTATTTTCTATTTTTCTGTACGGAGCTGTAACCTGGTGCCTCAAAAGTCGAGATATAAGTAAAATAAGTGCTTTTGAAATGTAGGGCTGGGGACAAATACTATAGACACCATAGAAAGCCATCCATTTCACACATTCGAATGGTATAACAAGGATAGTGTAGTTAAAGCAATGAGCCATAAGACGACAGCAAGGTTTTTTTCACATTAGCGTTAGTGTAAAAAATCTCGTGGTTTTTCTCGTCCCCGTATTAAACTGATTTGCTGCCTCATTCTTAGTTTTTTAACCAAAATATTAGGGAAATAATTGAAGGATAATAATAAAGTGAATATATACTGCATTATCTACATGATATGGGATCCCTTAAACTTTGTTAATTTTAGAATTGTATTTGCTAAATATTTAAAAGATGCACGACGGCATTTTCAGTATTGTAATTTTTCTTACGTCACGTCTAACTCGCCGCCCTGCCCTACCTACAGAACTAAAGACGAGACGGACGACGTAAGGCTAATTGGAATGCCTTCATTTTAAGCACGTTAACAGCATATCTGTAGTATAAAATATCATCGGATCTCTTTAAACACCAATATTTATAAAATTGATCCACATCTACTTAAATTACCGATCCATTGTTTTGCGACAGTATTTGAAAAAGCCATCTGTAACAGACAATATCATTTGTTAGAACAAGTTAAAAATTATAGTATTAACAAATAAAAAAAATGTTATTAACGAAAAATAAAACCTACTTCAAATATCTAGCTCTGTATTAAATTTATAATTGATTCTCAGAAGTTCAACAGTGTCTCCGCAGTCATCATCATTATTTAAGCCTGTTTGAGTCCACTGCTGAACATAGGCCTCCCCCATAGACTGCCACGAAGTACGATCCTGAGCCACCTGCATCCATCGACTTCCCGCACAGGTCGTCACTCCATCTAGTGGGGGGTCGTCCCACACTGCGATGGCCAGTACGAGGCTGCCACTCGAGAACCTTTCTTCCCCAGCGGTTATCGGTTCTACGAGCATATATGGCCGGCCCATCGCCACTTCAGCTTGCTAATCCTCGGTTTATAATATGTCGGTTACCTTGGTTCTACTGCGGATGTCTTCGTTGCGAACTCTATCACGCAGAGAAATACCGAGCATAGCCCGCTCCATAGCTCGCTGAGCGACTTTGAGCTTCCTCATACGCCAGCAGTGAAGGACGACGTCTCGGGTTCGTAGGTCATCACTGGCAATACACATTGAGTGAAGACTTTAGTCTTCAAACATTGAGGTATATTTGACGAGGAGATTTGCCGTAGTTTCCCGAAGTATCCGGTATATCCAGTATCTGAGTTGGATTCGCCGATTGACCCCTGCGTCGAAGTTGGGTTTACCTAGCCGGACTAACTGTGCTAGGTAAATGTACTCGTTAACAACTTCGAGCTCAGTGCTCCCAACAACAACCGGTATTGGCGTGACATGGACATTAGACATGATCTTCGTCTTGTCCATGTTCATCTTAAGGCCCACCCGTTGGGAGACTCTGTTGAGGTCATTGAGCATAGTAAGTCCTCCAGGTCCTCCAGCGATCTGCCATGATGACTATATCGTCGGCAAATCGGAGGTGGGTGATGTATTCGCCATTGATGTTAATAGCTCGTCTTTTCCAGTCCAGAAGCTTGAAAACATCTTCCAACGCAGCGGTGAAGAGTTTCGGGGATATGACATCACCCTGTCTTACAGCCTTCTGCAGTTGTATAGGTTTTGTACTACTGGACTGTACTTGGACGGACAACGTAGCCTTGTTATACAAACACCTCAGCACCTCAATGTACCGACAGTCAATTTGGCACCGCTGAATAGTCTGGAGTACCGCCCAAATTTCGACAGATTCGAAGGCTTTCTCATAGTCCACATACGTTAGGCACAAAGGCAGATTATAGTCTTCGGTCTTCTGTATAATCTGCCGCAAGGTGTGTATGTTGTCTATGGTACTGAAGCCTTTTCGGAATCCGGTTTGTTCGGAAGGCTGGAAGTCGTCAAGTCTGGAAGCGAGACGATTCAAGATGACTCTCGAGAACAGCCACACTTCTGCTCCACGCCTCTGGTGTAGCATCACCCTGAAGGACGGATTAAAGAGCCTCTGAAGGACTACAAGTACCGGTTCTCCACCCGCTTTCAGAAGCTCTGCTTTAATTCCGTCCTCTTCTGATGCTTTGCCATTCTTAAGATGGTCAAGAACCATTCTAATCTCGCTCAGGCTGACGTCCGGGATATTTTCGGAATTGTGTCGGATAAGCTTTGCTCTTGGGTCGTTACTCACATATGTGTGTGGCTCCAATGACGATGTGTACAGCTGTCCATAGAACCTCTCTATCTCACTCAAAACCTCTGGTCTATTGGAGATGATAGCGCCGCTGTCAGTCTTCAACCTAGTTGCCTTTGTCCGATCTCTGGCGAAGACTTTTGAGCCTAGGTTCCGCCATATAGCTCCCTCAATACGACCTGTATTGAAGTTGCGTAAGTCTCGCCGCATGTATTTGGAGATCTACCTATTAAGCCGCCTGTAGTCCGACATATCAGTTAAAGACTGCAACCGCATCTCACATCTTTTTCGGAAGAGGTTGAGAGTGTGAACAGAGAGTTTTTGGGTTCTATTTTTGCGGCGGGCCTTATAAAATTTAAGGCCTGCGACATGGACAGTTTCCACGAGCTTTGCATTAATATCGTCCACCGTGCTGCAATTTTATAGGCATTGGAAACGATTATGTAGCTCGAACTGATAGCTTTCGGAGTTCTGGATATGGGCAAGAGATGGTCGGAGTGTGGACTTCATCAGACGAGATCTTACCAGCCTAATGTTAATATTCAATGTGCCTCTCACTAATCGGTGATCACTGCCGGTCTTCACCCTTGTGATCACAGAGACATCATTGAATATTTGCCATTTGTTCGTCATAATGAAGTCTATCTCTTTTTTTACAGAACCATCGGGGCTAATCCAGGTCCACTTTCTGTGGGGCTGCTTTTTGAAGAAAGAGTTCATCATAAAGAGTCCCTCTTGCACCATAAAGTCAGCCAGCTGCTGCCCCCTTGGGTTCCGTTGCCCTATTCCAAAACTTCTCCGCAGCCTAAGATTCAATACCAATGAAATGAATATGGGATCACGTGGGATGCACCAGCATATTTCAAATAAAAAAAGAATCATCAAAATCGGTTTACTCAGTCGAAAGTTAGGTAAAGTAAGGTAACAAACGTAAAAAAAAATACAGTCGAATTGAGTACCTCCTTTATAAACTATTACTAATTGGTTCAGATATCATAATCTAGAGGTAAATTATGAGATAACTAAAGATGTGCAATTTAAAACAGATTGGAAAAATAACAATTGTATATTTGAAGCAATATTTTTATAACTGGAAAATACGTATTGATTATTTAAAAACTAAATTATGCACATTCACCAATGTTCACTTCCAAATTAAATAATATACACATACTTCTACTGCTTACTATTACTTAATATATGCTTACGCCCACTCATGGCTAATGTACGGTGCAATAAAATGGGACTTTTGTTTAAGGCTTAGGACGTATTTATGAAAACAAAAAAAAAGCATAAGGATCCCACACAGTTAACAATTCTAGCTGTACCTGTGACCTTATTTTAAAAAACTTTAAATATTAACTTTTTCATGCTTATAATGCAAGATGTGTCTTTTAAAAACAGTCATTCTTTTAAAAAATAAAGGATAAACATACTATAAACACACGCCCACAAATTAAATTATATTTATCACATTTACATTTAAAAATATTAAACTTGCCCATAGTGACTACATGACAAATTAAAATATATAATAAATTACACAAAGAAATTAAAAATGTAACTAAATTGACAAAGTTTATACCTAAATTGAAATGTTTTTTAGAAGAAAATCTATCTTACTCATATGTATATATTATAAACTTATTAAAAAAATTTAACCATTAAAAAATTTGCATTCCCTTGATAGTACATTTAAGTTTATAACCATTCCGCTTCGTGCTCTCGTATGGAACGGACCTCTCTCTAAGACGGAGGGCACATGCCACCCGAATTAGACGCTACTTGCAACCTCGGTTGCAATTTAAATCTTGTGCAAATACTGCAGTAGTTTAGTGTAAGTGTAGTATTGTGCTCGTAGGCAGGTTTCTGTTTTGTTGCGAGGAGTTCGTACGCAAAGAATGCATAGGCAAGTAGCTGAACTCGCGTCGCCACCATCGCCCGCGCCCTCTGCGCCCGTTACCTCGTCGCGCTCCACCTTAAAAGCCCCCGTCGCGTCGGCATCCGCTGCCGCGATCTCGAACGTCACGCCTTCCGCGCAACTAAACCCGACCTCTTTTTGCTCCGTCGAACCTTTTTTTTTTTCGTGGGAAAAATCCTTTGTGCATCCCCTACCACTGGATCAGGGGTGTGGTAGGGGTATGTGGGAGTCCCGGTGAGAAACGGGTACCCACAAAAACCCACGTTGCACCTGTACGCTATCAGGGGGGAAGGTTGCGCGCGTAGGCCAGCCTTCTGCGCCCTGGTCTCCGGCGGCGGATTTCCAGGGTTGCAGTTGCCTCCCTTTCTATCTCTGCAGCCTGCCTTGCGGACAACCTAGAGCAGCAATGTACGTCATCGCGCGAACACACTGATACAGTCCACTTAACGGAGGTGGACAGCGTAATCAAAACTAGGGCTGCGCTTCCACTGGAAGGCGATCCTTTAAATTCAGTGACCCCGAAGAGGTCCAAGACATTATTAAAAAATTTAAAACCCAAATCAACCTCGGGCCCAAACAATATTAGTAATAAAATTCTTAAAGCTCTCCTTGGACCGCTTATCTGTTTACTGGCGACCATTTACAACACTTTACTCTCCAGTTGCTCCTTTCCGACTAGAAGGAAGCCACGGCTATCGGCATTCGCAAGCCGATCAAACCAGCGAATCAGCCCTCACGTTATCGTCCCATCAGCCTCAGTTGTATGGAGAAGCTCTACGAACGGCTTTTATTAAACAGGCTCAAAGAGCACGAATTTTCCAACGGCCTTCTGCCGGCGGAATAATTCGGCTTTCGAGCTAGACATTCCAATTATACCGCCTAACGGAACAAATCCTGAAAGGCTTCAATCCTCCGAAACAAATTAGCACGGGGGCTCTTTTCTTCGATGTCGCAAAGGCATTCGATAAAGTCTGGCACAACGGCTTGCTTTACAAGCTGTTCACACTCAAAATGCCAGATAGGCTCATACACACCATCCGGGCGTTCCTGTCGAACCGATCTTTTCGATATCGAGTTGAGGGCACCCTCTCCACAAGCCGCCGTCTCACGGCAGGCGTTCCACAAGGCTCCTGCCTCTCACCCTTACTCTTTACGCTCTACACGAGCGACATACCCAAAGACCCCCACGTCAATCTCGCGCTTTTCGCGGATGACACGGCGCTCTTTAACACCGATAAAAATCTCAATCAACTCACTACTCGTCTCCAGAGCACCGCCGACCGCCGCGGCGATTGGTTCCGCAAATGGAGAATAGAAGTAAATCCCGAAAAGTACTTATCCGTCACATCTTAATAAGGGCCCTCGCCAATGCAGAAAGTTGGGGCAAATATCCCTTTATGGCCAAGTATTTAGGAGTCACTTTCGACTCGCGTATGTCATTTACTACGCACATTTCTCCGGCCGGCGACACAATTTAACTAACGCTAAAAGTAAAATGCCCTTAAGGCACAAGAAGTTTATAAGCACTTCTTTATTTTAACACCTATTTTCATAATGTATGGACGGCCAATAAATGATTGAATTCAGTAGTTACACTCCTTTACTAAGTACACTACTTTGACATTTCATAAGAACGCGCAAGCGTCTATGTGAATAAATATACTTTTGCTTTTGATTGATTTTTGATTTTGACTTATAGCTCTCATGGGAACCGTAAGCGAAACAAGCACCTAAACAGAATAGGGCTTTTGGAGACCACATTCTGTAGATTTTGCGGTGATGTTGACTTCAAATAATTTATGAATGCAATGCCATGCCAATATTAGGAGTATGGGAACTGGGTAGGCCCAAGTTGGCAACCAATTAACAGATTACAACAAATTGTCTACAATTCGTAATAATGCGTTTCTAAATATAAAATCCGTCGTTAGAAATTTTTAATTTATTTTGGGTCAAAGATTTTTAGCCAATATAAATATTAAAGTAGTATTTTTAAATAAATTCACGATCAGGAAATAAAAGTGGTGAGAATGTAAAATTATTTCTTTTTAAAACTTGAAATAAAGTGAAAGCTTAAAATTTACCTGAAACTATAGTACTGTGGTCTTAACTCCTGTCGCTCCAGTTGGTCCCAAACTAAGCGATCGTTCTTCTTAACACAATCACTCAACTTGCACATCATATAATTGATTCCACTTTCCGTTTCATCCAAAGTCCGAATAAAAAAATCGCGGATTTCCGCCATGAGATTCGTGAAACAAAAGAAACAGTCTGCTTCAGCATGTTCTGAAAATAGAGATGGGACTAGAGCTTATTTAATTTACAAAGTTACTTCAGTTATTTTTACAAACTTCAGTTAATTTAATTTAATAAAAGCTTATTCTTAAAGATATTTAAGGATATTAAAACTTTCATTTAATGCTTTATAACTAAATTAACCGAGAATTATATTACATGGGCATATGCCATTATTATAACAGGTGTATGTTTATTACTTTATAATCACTTTTACAATAGGATAAAAATAAAATTGACTTACGCCGATATTCCTTATTAGCATCAATTGCAAAAGTATGGTATATAGGCCCAATAATCTCATTCATTCCTTGCACGTAGCCCTGGCCAGGATTAAGTTTGGCATAGAGAAATAACATTCGTTCTACAACCTCCCAGTGAGCTTCGCAGCCCTCTTTTAAAGGAGCATAGTCACCACTTGTGATATTATCCGAACGCTTTATTTCATTGCTCAACTATTCCACAATGTAAAAAGTAATTTATGAAATATACACATATGTAAATAGAATATAAATCTAACAAATAGTGTAATATTTTGAAGTATGTACCTTTGCAACTCCAAGACCTCTCCTCTCCAATGTAGAATACTTAAGAACTGACTGCTCAACACGTTTATGCAAGCGTTTTGTTCCATTGCTGTTTACTATCTAAAATAAGTGTTTTTTAATTTATAAGAACTTCCATCCCTCAATTCTTTATTTCAATAAACACATATTTTGTGTTCGTCCATACTTTTCTCATCTCATACAAGGTAAAACAGAAGACCTTGGGCCAAACATCTTATATTTTTCTCTGTAGATGATGTTTAAACAATAGAGATAGCTCAATAATATTTCATTTATTCAATGGATATTTTTGTATACATCCCTCGTTTATATTAATAAATTATTTACACTGAATATAATCTTATCCTTTAAACGAGCAATTCTTGTACATACATATATATATAATCGGAATCTCGGAAACGGCTCCAGCGATTTATGTGAATACATTCGGGGGCGAAAAATCGATCTAGCTAAGATTCATTTAGTTTTTCTATACCAGATCATTTTCTTTATTTTTTATATTTTTTATTTCCAAAATACATGATTTACCAAAAAAAAAAAACAGAGCAAAGCTCGGTCCTCCAGATACTATATATGATATTCAGTGTAAATATTTATAACGCGAGTTAGTTTTATTATCATCAAAATACAATAACGTGTAGAATATTAGTAAACACTTGTCTAAACACTTGTCTGTTGCAAAATACCTATATGCTGGTTGCAGAATCCTATAGAATGTCACATTGCACAATATTGTGAACATACAAACAATAAACTAATTTGCCCCATCAGTTAAGTGTTTGGGTACTGTGGATTAATTTTTATTGGTTCTTTTTGTATGTGCTATTTATAGCTCCCATAAAAATATTATATTTCACAATACAAAAATACAGATTTTAATGATCCAAAGTTTAAGATTACATTAGTTAGGCACTGGAAACCAATTTGACAATTTTCAGTATTTAATTAAATTGCTCAAAAGTTTCATGTTATAATATGGAATTAAATGGGGGTAAATTATGATCTCAGGGATCATAATTTACCAAATTACTTCCAATGTCTTTTTTTTACAGAATATAACTCTAAACAAAGATAATTATATGAAAATTATTGTAATATAATTTGTCTTATTTTGGGAAGTCTTATTGCAGCATTCTTTATTTTAAATGTATAATTTAATTACTTACCTCTACACAAGGAAATTCTGTAGCGCTTTGGAAAAAAGAAATATCGGGGCACAGTCTTCGAACATCTTTGTCAATTTGCAACAATACTTCATTATCTTTGAAATAAGTGCTCCATGAGCTGTCAGGACTAATATTCAAGGGATGGTCTGTAGGTCCACCAGGGGATACTATTATCTCATCTGGAATCAATAAAAATTGTATTTCGTAAGAAAAGGATTATAATTGTAAAAACTAGGTTTATTACATATTTTTAAAAACAAATTAGTGATCAATAATTTTTAAAATGATTAAATGCAAGTATAGCTTACTAAACAAGTTCACCCTTTGTACATTGTAACAATTATGTGAACATCAATAAAAACATAATTGAAAATCAATCTTTCAGATATATTTATTAATTAAGTTTAAACATACATAGATAAATGATATGTAAATTTAATTTACAACAGTACTGTTTAAATAAATGTTTAACACTGAAATAACTTCTCTCTTAACTCTGGGACTGATTTAAATGGATTTGGAGCAGTATTTTTGGCAAGAACTATAAGTTTTACCTATGAATTGTTTATACAGTTGCCTTTTTTTTAAAAGTGTTGTTTCCCATGCATTTTTTTCTTTAGGTAAATAATGCAGCAATATTCTCCATACTATGGAACGTAGACCTTTATCATCTGGAATACCTGCAAATTTTGTTTTAAATTTGATGAAGATTCCCTACTTAACATTAAATTATAATAATTTAAAAAGTATGAACAATAAATAATGATAATAGAGAGAAAGAGAGTAATATATAATTACTACCATTGAATGCTATTTTTTGGAGTTCTTCAAAATCAATAACAGCTTCTTCCAAGATCTCTTCAAATGCTTTTATTCTGTAAGGATAACACAATTTTCAGTATTTATATATAATAATAAATATATGTACATATATAGTATGGGGTCATATAATTAACAACACTGAAGTTTCAGATTTTTTTTTATCTTTTTATCTCATGTCATAAAGTAAACACATGTATTCCTTAGAAGTAACTACTTGTTATGAAATAGCTACTAGAATAGAGTAAACAGAATTAGAAATATAGTTGTAAAAATAGTTTATTTATTCTATATATAGTAACAACTTCAAATAGTAAAGAAGCTGGAAAAATAATTAAGAATGATTAATTAAACTGCTCATGAGTTGTTTGATATGAACATAGATAAAATAAATGAAATTAATATGAGTGATTAAATTAATAAAGAAATGAAATACATTTTAAACTAATAGATTAACAGATAGTAGCTTGTTCATGGCTTTTATTGTTTTATTCTTTGGTTCATTGTCATGCTAGAATGTCTAAATAATGGGAAAGATGTTATCAGCATAAGGTAATTGATCCATGTTCCTTTCTATAAGCTTAAAAAGTCTGTGTCCAGAAAAGCATCCCAAAATTTTCTTATATCCCCCACCCTGCTTTCCATGCCACTTTTCTTCTACAAAAGTGCTACAATGCAAAACTATTGCTTTTGGACATTGCAGATGATCAGCTGGCTTTTTATAAAACCAATTCTATTTGCAAAATTTATTATTTCCTGATAGATTTATCCCATTTGTAACTTTTATTTCCTCCCATTGTTTTATGTATGTTGGGTGTCACTTTTGTGTCTTAGTCACTTTTAAGGCTTTTACAGCACTAAATAGCGCTAAAATTATACAAATAGTGAACTACAGCCACAGAGTTCTCTATTTAAATTTGAATAAAAAAATAAACTATTTAGCATTCTTAATTATAACTCCAGCCTATAAGAAGTAGTACTATGTTTAAATCTAATGTATAACATTTTGTACTACATATTTATTAGCCAGTATGGAAAATGACTGATATACAAAAAAAAATATATATATATATTTTTATTTACTTATGTTTTATACTTGTTAGTATGAAAAAAGTCTTCCCTTTAAATAAGCATTCTTAATTATATGACCACCAATCTGTTTATATTGTCTATCCACAATTTTAATGTTGCCTAACACTATAAAGGAGAAAAAATGTGTATGTAACAAAGATCATATAATTCATAATTTCTAAGATAACACTGATTTTCATTTAATCAGTACACATAAATTCACAAGTATGATGAACTTTTAATGTTAAGACATTGACACACATTCATTTACAGTAGGGAAGTTATAGAACTTAATAGAATTAACTTTCTACATTCTGCAATCTACTATTTTTTAAAGTTTTTTTAACCAAATTGAATATGCAACATTGTCAAATTTCAAGTAAAGGTGTGTTTTCATAGTAGAAATCTTATAGATTTTTTGCATGAAAAATGAAAATGAAGCTTAAAATTTATTTAATATATATGTGTAATAGATGGGCATTGAATAGCTACACATTAATATTCCCTATAACAGTATCAAGCAAACAGCAATTTTAATATAGCAATAAAAACTGTGTGAAAGTTGAAAACAGTTACCCCAACACTCACTAATTTTAATAAAAAAACAACGACTTATTCTTCCCAAATAAAGCTTACTAAGAGATATTGGGACTACTTTGAAGTTTAGCAGATATTAAAATGATTTAAAAGATGTTAGCTTGTGTGGTGAGTTTGAGTGTGGTGCATGATTAATATTGTTTATACTAACACATTGTTCATTTTGAACATTTTTCAAACTATGTAATCACATAGCAAGTACTTCCTCTATTTATGTTTCACACCAGATGCTGTAGACATTGACTGCATAAAAATTATTTTCTCTCCGGAACAAAAAAATATATAAATAAATACACTTAAGAATAATATCATTAATTGTAAAAATTTTACTTAACAAGAAGACCAAATGTTTATGTACCTATTCTGATTAGGACACATTTAAAGACGATTTTATTGGGCTGTCAGCTTTTTTTGTCTTACGATTTATGTGTCGTTATTGCCTTTAGACTGATTTTTGCAATTAGTACGGTATAAACGATAATTAATTTAGGTTTTAATTTTAATACAATCTGTAGGTATAAATAATAAAATAAACAATGATAGATACCTTGCCTTGTGCAAACTCATTATACGACTTAATAATAATTACGAATAAAATTCTTGTTTCTTGGCCGCACTAAGTGTTAAAAGGTTTTCAAAAAAAGAAAGAAAAACAATACGGTAGCAAGAATAATAAATTTATTTAACTAATGTTTGTTGCCTAGGCACGTTACGTTCGCATAGCATTAAGTAGGTTTGCCACTTAAATTAAACGACGAGTAAAATAGCTGTTTTTATAAACTGTTCTGAACTTTAATAGCTAAACTAAATTACGAACTACGATTCGGGTGTAATAAATGTTTTCGAATAAAATCTACAGTTTTCTCCAATTAAATGAAAATGTTACCTAATTAAAATATTTTTATTGTTTTGTTAATGACACAAGTTAGTCGAAAGATAATTTTTTTATGAAGTGTATGCTGAGTGTGCTGTTAGGTTGACGAAGTAGTTTAAGGTAGATTTCTCAACCGAATGCATTTGGAGTTATGATTAGACTAAGCAGATGACTCTGGACAGAAAAATTACTATAATGGAGCGAGGCGTGGTATACCCTGACTTATATGTATTTCAAAATTTCAATTTTCATCATGTTTGCCAGAATTGGAAAAGGGGAATTACCTGCTATCAATATGCATAGTTTATAAATCCAAACAACAAGAATGGACAGAGCACGGACTAGGGTGGTTTGACGTGAACATACATATTTAACCGTTGGTTTTTTGTCCCTTATCCTATCCAGGTATAAGAAACTAAAGAACCTTAAAGTTTTAGTAGGAGAGAATTAGTCGTCTCATAGTTCTGCAGATGTCTAAAAGCTTGTGCTGAAAATAATATCAGATTTTCCTGGTAACTTAACTCAACTATTGGATGTTGCTTACTTTAACTCAATGAAAGTAGCATCGTAAAATTCCACGAGTGGAAGTCAAGTGGATGATGGATGTCCAAATTTCTTTTCTGTAAACTTTTGAAGATATATTGGATAACGGCGGAGCTTCAAAAAGAATTACAAAACTAATAATCCCTGCGGGGATAAGGCTCCGGCCGAAGGATGCAAAAACACAAAATTTATTTTAAAATAATACTTTTAATTCTAAAATTACAATGTTATTAAAATCTAAGAAACGAAAGAAAGACGCGACAATTACTATGTATAATGAGAGTGACGCACACTAGCTTCCCTTCTTTATTTCACACTTTTTGTGATGATTTTTTTTTCAAAAATCCTTTTTATGCCTCAACTACATTATAAATAGGTCAAACTAAAAGTAACCACTTACATAAATAATATTTAAAAAGTAATTACAACTTTTGAAAATGGAACTTTTTGGGTGTAGAATACAGTATATTTCCTAAAAATTTAAAATTGTGTTCCTTGCTACATTAGCATGGATTTAACTCAGGAAAATTTTCGTAGACTGATTTTCTACGATTTGAAGTGTAATTTGACAGTTCAGCAGTGCCTTGCTTGGCTTCAATCTGCTTTTGGCGATGAAGCACCATAGTAGACGACTATTTATCGTGTCCTGTCAATTTCAGTAACGAATGTCGCGATGGTTGCCCGTCCACCGCAGTGAACAACAAAAACATTGCTGCAGTGCGCCGCATGATTAAAATAGACAGGTAACCTGCCATTGGGCATTCTTAGACATAGGCATGAGTCAAATACAATAAATCCTACACAAACATTTGCGTATGAGGCTCACAAAACTGACCGCGTCACTTGTTGCAATGTCATGCTTACCAGATTCAAGGAAGGGGCGTCAAATTTGGTGTAGGTAACAGGTGACGAAAGATGGATTTATGGCTACGATCCCAAAACAAAGCAGCAATCGAGCGTATAGGTCTTTCAAGATGAACCGAAACCAAACAAAGCGGCGCGCGTGAACAGTGCATCTAAGCAAAACTGGACACGTGGCTACTGTTGCTTTAGAGAATCGGTGTGTGACAGGTACTTGACCATTTATTTGCCGGAAGTTATTGACGAACTGCGTGAAAATAATCGTAATCGCCGTATCATCTTGCACCACGACAATGCTAGCTCGCACACGGTCAAATAGAGAAACGAATTTTTAAGGGGTGAAAATCGTAGAACTTATGAGCCATTTTGCATACAGTCCCGGTCCCGTCAGTCAGTTCGGGACTATTTTCTGTTCCGAAAAATTAAGAAAATTACTAGCCATTTGCCATAAATGTAAATATTATTTTTAAAATTATTTTTTTGAATGTTCTTTATTACTGTTACAAACAATCGATATTACATATGGGCCATTCGCGATCCGGACAGGTAAAAAACGTTGATGTTTGCAACTTTAGTAATATATGATTATGTTATACCTATATATGTCCTCAATCTACATACAAAATATTTTTACAGTATAAAATGTAGTTTACGATTCAGAAAGCTTTAAAAATGTGACTAACCGGAAGGTATGCGCTACTTCGAATCCCATTATAGAGTATTAAAAAGATAAATGGATATAAATGAAGTAGTCAAGTTTATGCTTAATTTAACCAGCTTTCTAATTGTATTTTTGGATATTACAAGAAAAATTTTTTGGAAACAAAATCATGTTTAAACTTTTAAACTTAAATTTCACAGTTAGACCACTTGAATTTTTTATTTTTTTATAAAACTAGTTAATAATGTATAGATAGTCCTTGGTAAGTTTCATAATGGGCCTAGAAGTCTTTCGGGGGCTAGGCCATCTACAGTGTCAAAGGGTAGCGCCGGGCCCGGGTCGTGCCTTCTGCCAGTATTGCGAGATTACAAAAACTTCCCACAGAATATTTTGTTTACCTAATTGAGTTTAATAAATCAGTACCCGGAGGACCGAGCTTTGCTCGCTTTGTTTTTTTTTTGGTAAATCGTGTATTTTGGAAATTACATTTAGATACAAATTACTGAGTAATGAAATTTGCATAATATTTTTCGATCTTACCGACGTAATAATAAGAAAATATGAACTGATGTTTTTCACAAAAGAAAGAACTTTAAAAAAAAGGGGGGAAAATAACAAAATAACAAATCGACAAAAAATTAAAAATAAAGAAAGCAATGATCTGGAATCGAAAAAAAAGTAAAAAATTAAATGTGTAAAAGATCGTGACACGAACCACGGCCGCTGTTTTGGGGCCACCCGATTACCGACCGAGCTATTATGACATTTTCTGTTGCGGCGAAATTTACCGTCATATTCGAAATATATTTTTCATTCCCTAAAAACAGGGATAATAAGGACATTTTCTAAAAATGAAACCTAGTTACATCGATTTTTCGCCCCCGAATCTATGCACATACTAAATTTCATGAAAATCGCTATATATATATATACACACACACACAAGAATTGCTCGTTTAAAGGATAAGATTTGATCTTACTTAGATGTACTTAAAATTACAATACAATAACGTTACTATGTTTCGATTACTGATAAATGTTTATTAAAGATGTTACTTCTGCGTTTTACCATAGTACCTTCAGCAGTCGGAACGATGGCATGGTATTTCTTTGAATCTGATCGGTGAATGAGGAGTAAAATCAGATTTTTAGCCTTTTCGAACATATACATAGTCAGATTACTTTGCCGCGTTGATATTGAAGCCATTTATATAAACATTGGGGTGTTATAATAGCCTTTTCAGAAGCTGATATTAATTGTTTAAATTGCTACCAAAACCGTCACCCGTCCCTTTGCCATGTGTGTAACATGAAGATAAAATTCCGCCTCTCTACAAAAATCATTTTTGAAATAGAACAAATTAACGATACTGAATCTATTTTAAAAGTGTTATCGTTCCCCGTCAATCATATTAATATATATTTTTGGACACATGTTTTGATTTGAAGATATTGATGCTAAATATTGTGAAAGGTATAAAAATTATCCATGTCGTGATTTAAATCGTCCTAAAGCATTACAGTTCATCCATATAATTTAATTCCATTTAATTCAATATTTTAAGCTACGCTCTTATTTAAAATTGATGATAATGAAAACATGATTTAAAAAGTTTAAACATTTTTTCCTAAAAAAAAAATTTTTAATGTCCATATATACAATTAGAAAGCTCATTAAATAGACTAGACTACTTCATTTATTTCCATTTATCTTTTTAATACCGGATAATGGGATTAGAAGTAGCGCATGCCTTCCAGTTAGTCACATTTTTAAAGCTCTGTAAATCGTAAACTACATTTTATACTGTAATAATATTTCGTATCTGGATTGAGGACATATATAGGTATAACAACCGCTTCGCGTAGAATGCCCTTTAAGTAGGTACATATTTTCTGTTTAATAAAACCTTATATCTAGGTTTTGTTTTATATATTATACACGGAGGAGTGGCACAAATGCTTTCAAAATTGGTTTAATCGTATGAAAAAGTACATTTACGCACATTTACGAGAATAATTTTGGGAAACAATAAAATCTTTTTTTACCTTTGATAGTATTTTTTTCTTTTGTCATTCCGGAAACTAAGTGCTTCCCACGTATAATAGTTTTGATACTGTTATTTATTGGCTGAAAGGTCGGCAACGCATTTGTAAGCCCTCTAGTGTAGCAGGAGTCCATGGGCGTCGGTGATCACTTACCATCAGGTGAGCCTCCTGCTCGTTCCTATAAAGAAAAAAACAATTAAAAAACTTAAGTCACCGATAAATTCTTTTATGCAACTAGGGTATTTTGAATTTCTAAACATTCCTTAAAATTTTTAATTAAATATTTCGTGTACCCCATGGCTTCTAGCAGTAGCGGTACCGCAACTTGGACCTTTCATTTCAATATTTTTTTGTTATTCATTCCAGAAACTTTCAGTGCGCCCCACGTATAAGGAATATTTGTATACTTTGCAAGTTGCAAGTTTCGAGGTCCTTTGAATTACATTTTGTTAAGTAAAAACCTGTTTTTTAAATTGATATTTTATAATTGAAAATCATGAAAATGTTATTGGCCAATAAAATAAAGTTAAATAACTGGCAACTTCTTACTCACCTGTAACTTGTACTATAGAAGTCCACCCACTGTTTAGGTAATTCATCTATCTTCACGAAAGAAATCATTGCACTAATAATTTTCTTTTTATGTAACAATATTTTATAAAATCTTGTTTTTAAGAAAGAGTAGTAGTAGAAAGTCCACCAAATATATTACGATGCTAAGTATGGATAACAGCCCCATATCTAAAGCCTCTTCGTGATGATTATTTTGAAAGTCAAGAAGAGTTAAAGTAGCACATATCGAATTCAGCAGGACACCACCCAAAAGGAAAGCTGCTTCAATGTATATATCGGAATTAATGTGCAAGCCCCCTTCGCAAAGTAGACCCAATGTTATGATTGCGTAGCTTCCATACACACCCGACTTTACAAATTGTCCAAACGCAACTAAATTATCACTTTCAGAATTTAAGAAAAATGCTACAAGCATCATTACTAACGTGGCCCCCCGAAGAAACATTTGAACTATTTTGAGACTCATCGTAAAACATTTTATTTTTAGAGTAGGTGTATACATACATGTTAAAATAAAAAGGTGGGTGCAATTTAGAATATGAAATAAATAAGGACCAGTGACATCTCCGTACGATCAAAAATTCTTTACTCTTTGGCGACTTTATCTGTTTCAATATCTTTCATACTAGTACTACTTTTATAATATTTCTTACACTTAAGGATATTATAACGTTGAATTTAATATTTTTTTTAGATAAGATCAAAAATTATAAATATGTTATATACATAAGAAAACTGTTAGACAACAGTCGTTACAAATTACTGCTGGCTAATACAAAGTTATTCTAAAACATTGATAACCAAAACTTATTGTCCGTTTATGTCACGTAATGTTATTTTCTGTGATGATCGCAAACGTTGTCATGACGAGAAGTTTTATATAATATTTATTCTATAATGCATTTTAACGTTTGTAAAAGGTGGATGTAGTATGTCTATTATTTACTTAATTTTGACTTTATTCTCATGTGTATGCTGCAATGAAAACAACGAAACTAAAGGCAAGTTCGATTACTGCACCCATCCAGATTGTTCTTTGAAGAATCAACACACTTTATGTGCTGCAGACAATAAAGGTAGTCCCAGACTTTATGCGTCTGGAATGACAACTTGGATGAGATATCAAATATTGTTGTTACATAACAGACATAGGGACAATATCGCTATGGGGTTAGAGGCTGGTCAGCCCCCAGCAGCAAATATGCGTAAAATGTACTGGGATTATGAACTTGAGGAAATGGCTGAGGTTTGGGCGAGGCAGTGTCAAAAGAGACACGACGAATGTAGAAATACAATAAGGTTCAACGCCTTACAAAATATGGATGTGCGGCCTGTAGTCCCAAGAGTGACGGAAGCGCAGTTGCTTGCGGACGCGGTAGGGGCATGGTTTTCAGGATCTAGATCATTGCCACCAGAGAATGTTTGGTCTTTCAAATTAAGCAACTGTAGTGCCCCCGGCGGCTGCAATGCACATTGGTATACGGCCGCTGCATGGGCGCCCACGTGGCGGCTTGGATGTTCGCAAGCACTGTGCACCGTTAGGAAACCGTCGTGCGTTCTATTTCGTAAAAGACGACGGACACGGCAATTTGAACTGAACAGTGATTCGAATGAACCTAAACCTACTCCAACCACCACCGAGAATATTGTTCGTAGGACCAGATATATGACGCCTTTGAAATCTTCGCGGTTCGAAGACTTTGCAACGACTTTTAAAGATAATAATAATGAAGAATCGCCGTTGTATCGTGGGTTCTTGGATAATCTATCTAAGAGGAAAAGAAGAGAACTGAAGATTGTTGCATTTACATTTTGCAATTATGGACCAGCGGGCAATATTGAAGGTTTTCCAATATACGAGGCTGGTACGACGTGCGGTAATTGTCCGCAAGGCACACAGTGCAGGGATCGTACGCATAGAGCTTTATGTTCAGTTTTAAACGATCCTGATGGACAAAATCCAGGACACAGTAAAGTTGTGAACAATAAATGAAAACGAAACGTTATAATATAGTTAAATTTTTAATTTTTTGTTATACATTTTGTATGCTATTTTTGAAAAAACATTATTAATACATGCATTTAGTATTTTTATTTCTAATGAGTTTTTAATATAACAGTAAAGCTTATTTTCACTAAGCAAGTCCATTTTTAGAGTTTTGTCCGTCAGGCTCTATCTCAACGAACCGTTACGACCTGGGAACCTTCAAAAAGAGAGCATACTCTTTCTTAAAAGGCTGGCAACGCATTTGTGAGCCCTCTGGTGTTGCAGGTGTTCATGGGCGGCGGTAATCACTTACCATCAGGTGAGCCTCCTGCTCGTTTGCCTCTTTTCTCCATAAAAAAAAAACTATCTCATGGACTGTGATAACTAGACAGTTGAAAATTTCACAGATGTATTTGTGTTGCCGCTATATAACAACAAATACTAAAAAAACAGAATGAAAAAATGAATGTGAATGAAGGGAAATTTCCGAAAAATAAAAACCTGCCAAGTGAGAGTCAGACTCACGCACTAAGGGTTCCGTACCATCTTCTTTATATTAGGTCCTTACATATGAAATTAGCGTTTTGTCGTACTAACCACTTTGCTGCAGAAACATCTCGAAGGATTAATTATGCGTACGACGCTGGCATTGGCGTATCTATGGCTAGTTTTCAGAGCGGCCCTGGGCCCTTACTACTAACAAAATCGAACACTATGCAACCTACTCGTATTAAAATAATAACAGTTCTTACTCTTTGCATAGTATAAAACGAAGTCGCTTGAGATGTTTGTACGCTTAGAATTTTTAAACTCAATTTCAATATCTACATTGCACCAGTGCAAAGCCTGGGTGGGTCGTCAGTTTCCTATATGAAGAAAAGATCTCTTCTCCCATGGTAGATCTCAACTAAATGTTTATATACTCCGCATTGCTGGAAAGCTTTACACGCATCCGGCTGAACTGACTTGGATCACAATTGCAGCTTGAATTAACTAAAAAATATTTGGGGATAAATCTTGTTCAGCGTGTTCCTTAAGAACTTCAAATTTAATATTATTTTCTTTTATTAGTTACGTTTATTATAATTAAGCATTTTGTTTCTAGAAGGGTGCTATCAATCGAATCGAAGAGTTTTTTCGTAGTTATCGATAAAAGCCTTCTCATTGAAATCTTTATCTGTAGAATGCAGTTTGTTTCATCTGACTGTCAATTTTTTTACATTGTGGCGCCATTTTAAAAATTGTGTGTCTACAATAACATGGATTTAACTCGGGAAGATTTTCGTAGTATGTTTTACATGTTGGAAGGTCGTGATGCTGTCGTATTCGGAAATATAGTGTATGTGATGAACAAAAACCGAATAGTGAGGTAACTATCATCAGATGAGAATGGGAAGGGACTACAAACGTCAGCATAAACCAGTTCTCCGGGTCTAGTTGTTTTATCTCCGGTTCCGAATTTCAGTCGGTGGGATTTACCATAGACATAGCCTTCACAGAGATCCTTGGTGACTGTTGTCTTAATGTTGAACTCTTTTTCCATCAGCTTTTTAACGTGACTTTTGCTTTGGTGACCGAACCTTTCATGATATAGCTGCAACAAATTCGGTGTTGTTGACAGCTGGTTCACTACAGTTGGCTTAATGCATCTCAGTTTAAGCTTGTACAATCCTCCAAATTTTTCCCGATTTCCAATAAGTTTTATCTTTCCATCCATTTTTAGGACACATTTTTGTGCAGTAGATTCAAAAATACTGCTATCCGAAAGGTCATGGGTAGCAAGGACAGAAAATAAGTTTCTGCTAATTGATGAAACGAACCAGACATCTTTAAGAAGTATCTTTTCAGGTTTTCCATTTATGTCAGCTTCAGCCAGTATATCACCAATGCCTATTGCTTCGATGCACTGACCATTGGCTCCGGTAACCGTATGTTTGCTGTTGAAGTAGGTGAAGTTTTGGAATAGGTCGGCACGATTGGTGATGTGTGACGTCGCTCCATTGTCCACGAACCAATGTTCATGATCCATTCCATTAAAAGCTCCAGCTTTGTTCACAGACATTGCTGTAATGGTAATGCTTGCTGCGGTGGACTCCATTGGAGGTTTTCCATCTGCATTCCATTTTCTACAGTTTATCTTCCGGTGGCTTTTCTTTTTGCAATAATCACATTTCAAGTCCTTGCGTTTCTTATTGTTGTTAGAATTACCCGTTGCATTTCGGGTTTTACGTATAAGGCTTCTGCATGTGAAGAACCGTCCTGTTGAACTTGGTCTTTATTGTTCCGCAAGATACGTTCGTGGGCGCACAGCTGGCTAGTGAGATTTTCTATGGTACGCTGACTTTTAGAAATCATTAACCAACTTGATTTGAAGCTCATTAATTCCGAAGGTAATGTGTCCAAAATTTTACAAATGAGCAATATCTCAGGGAGTTTTTTTCTGTATGTAGTTCCTGGCACAATTCGCTCCAGAGTGGTATGATTTGTAATTACGCTGGAAGTGCTATTGTATGGCAAAGCAAGAGACAAACCACTGTAGCCATATCGTCAACTGAGGCAGAAATTATAGCTGCCAGTGAAGCTGCGAAGGAAATCATGTGGTTAAAGAGAATAATTGTCTTCATGGAAGGAAACCAAAAACAAATTATACCCAAACTGTTTTTGGACAATGAAGCAGCCATAAGACTGGCTCATGACCCGCCTTTTGAACGACATAGCCGGACAAAACACATTAGATTAAGACATTTTTTTGTCTGTGAGTGTGTTCTATCCAATGACTTGGTTATTGAGAAGATAGAAGCCAAGAAACAGTTGGCGGACTGCGTGAATGTTAAAAAGAGTCTTTATGCAGAGCAAGCAATGAGACTTGTTACACCTACTTTAGTTAATCTATGTCCCGACTTTTGGGATAACCATGACAATAAACGTAGTGATTACATTCTCTTTGACCATGACAACCGTTGTTAATAGTGAGGTAACTATCATCAGCACAGAACACTTTTACTCAAAGAGAAGAATGACGGCTCCATACAAATTTTAGGAGGAATTTTTTTCTTACCGACCGGCGCCATCTGTGTTCTGCCCAAAAGAACTAGTGAGCAAATGCTAGGGCGGGAATTTCAAACTAGTAATTTTAAAGGTACTTGGCGTTGCATTTTATGCACAAGTACAATGCGTTTGTAACACACAGTATACTTGTGTATAAATTGCTATATTTATTCATCTTTAGAGAGCAGTCTAATTAAAAAAAAAACGAATGAATCGGTAGTTCACTTTTTTATTTAGCATGATAATAAATACAATATATGAGATATTCGTTTATGCAACATATATTATAACAGACATACATTTACATGAATTCAGACACGAGTTGTATTCATTTCCAGAAATTTGGTATAAAAATCACAAGTAAGTAATGATAATGAATCTCAAACATCAGCAAATTTTAAACACAAATAAAAATAATATTCTTAAAATACAATATAAATGCCGCGTGGATTAGGTTTATTAGATAATATGTAATTTTAGATAGATTTAACCATGTAAATATTAGATCAATAAAGACTTTCAGTATTCATCACTTTAAGTATTTGAGACATCTTCACTCAAAATAAAAAATACAGTTTACCTTTCATAATGTAAGCTTGTAGTAAAAAAGCTTGTCCTGTAATTACTCGGCGCTCGCACGGCAACATAGATATATAAGAACAATCTACTATTGAATGCAATTGACAATAAAGTATTTTAATTAATACAATGTTAAGTTCTTCATTGAGCTCCTAGTCATTACAGATCTCACAGCTATTTGTAGTGGAAGAAATACATTGCGAAACTTAGCATATATTTATGCACGTTTAGTAGCATATATTAAGCACATTTATATATATATATATATATATATATATATATATATATATATATATATATATATATATATATATATATATATATATGTATATATATATAAATGTGCTTAATTTTAAGTGTTTATTGTACCAACCTTATGGGAATGAACATCAGGTACAGCTGATATGAACAACTTCTTCTCTTTAAAGCATGTGCTATTAGAATGTTTGCTGCAAAGCACCTTATGTTTAGAATGCAGTCCATCCTGGAACTTTGGTGAAGACCTGTGTGGCTTCATTTGTGAAGCAAAACTTTGCCCGTAATTCACACCTGAAAATTAAAAAATATGAAAATGACAATAATAATCATATTCCGGATGGGCATCTTAAATTTGCATCCCAAATTTGGGGTTTATAAGGGTTGTTTTTTTATAGAGATTGTTTGTCCTATTCAAACGACACACCCCTCACCCTTAGAAAACCAGTAGTTTTTTTCATACGGCTTTGAAATTAGGTGCAACCGAACAACATTTTGCTAAGCTTAATACTTAAGCAAAGGCTATCAAATCAAATACATTGACAATAGTTGTGGTGTGTTATTCTTAATTCCAAGTCGTTTAAAACTAATAGCATTGAAAGTACAGAAGTAGGTACATACCGCAGAGCATTGTTTGAGCCAGGCTTTGAGAACCCAAATAAAGTGACGCTGGGATTTTTATATGGCGAAGATCCACACATGCAACATATTTTAGAGTTCTCTTTCTGAAATTAACCATACACCGAGTCTATGTCTCACAAATACACACTTAATTTCACCAAAACACAGCCGCGGAGGGGGAGGCTCAAGTCAACGCTACTAATGTATGTAAAATCAAATGGAACGAGTTTATTTATTGCAAATAAACATTGGTACAAACAAGTTAAAATGGTGCGCTCGCGGTGGACATTTTCCTACCTTGTGACGTCATGACGTCATAATAATATATGTTGTTGCCAATGCCAATCAATATCCCCAAATATTTTTCTTATTATGTAAATATCAGTTAAATATGCTATATTTATTAATAAAATATATTTGTTGCGAAACCCGAACAATAGCAAAAGATATTTTCGAGAGTATTTTACATTAAAAATCAATTTTTAAACTCATTATTATGGAGAATACGAAGTTGTATTTTTGGTGGCAACATCATACAAATGTCTAAATTCATCTCTTTTACTTTGATATCGTTGTCTCTCTCTTGTTTTCTGGCCCTCATACATTCTGTTCATAGAACAAAGTTGACAGGCCCTGATCATCAGACATAAAAATAACAAATTGTAAATAGGAAAATATTCTTTCGCCGAATATAATTCTTTAACATCATCCACGAGTTCCTTATTTGTTAAAGAAAGAAGCTTTGACTGGCACCGACAGACGAAATTGGGAGAAGACGATACAATCTGAAATGGAATCATTACAGAAAAATAAAAACCTTGTGACACGCCCGCAAGTAGCAATTCTAAGTCGATACAGGAAACCACGGAGAAGGAATATCCCTATAGGGAAGCAGTGGGAAGTTTACTGTACCTGTCCACCAGAATCAGACCAGATATCGCACAAGCGGTCAATCTAGTTAGCAGGAAGGTCGAAAACCCCACTAGAGAAGTCATAAAAGTCAAAAAAATATTCAAATATTTAGTAGGAACCAAAGAGAAAGGCACTTTGTTCAAACGAAACAAACCGATAGAGAACATTGATGCTTACAGCGACTCAGATTATGCTGGAGACCCATTGACGCGAAGAAGCACGTCTGTCTCCGTGCTAACGATAGCCGATGGACCAATATCATGGGCATCCAAGAGGCAGCCTATAGTAGCGCTATCGTCGACTGAAGCCGAGTACATAGCCGCAGCAGACTGTTGCAAAGAGGCATTGTATCTCAAATCTCTATTACAAGAAATAGCTGGTTTGGACATAAAAATAAATTTGCAAGTTGATAATCAAAGTTCGATTCAACTTGTGAAGGCTGGATCCTTCAACAAAAGGTCGAAGCACATAGACGCGCGGTACCATTTTATACATGAACACTTCGTGCATGGATTAATAAATATTAGCTACTGTCCCACAGAAATTCAGTTAGCTGACGTAATGACAAAACCATTTTTAAAAGTAAAGTTTGAAAGACACTGTGCAAGATTAATGCATGTATAGAAACGTGTCTCGGCAACATGAGTGAACATCAGGAGGTGTTGGAAGGTCGTGATGCTGTCCACGTATAATTGTCTATGATGCACTGCATTTTAATTTGGATTATGTTCTTTTTTACTTTTGATGTGCGGTGTCATTATTTATTATAATATATTTTCTCATATACAAGTAAACACAATGTTTTCAAGTATTATTTACGTTTTAATTAATTGCTATAGCTGCTAGTCCACCCTATCATTACATACCACGATTTTAAGTGTAATCAGAAAGTTCAGCGAGCCCCGCTCGGCTTCTGGCGATCTTCTTTTGGTGATAAAGAACCATGTCACATGACTAATTGTAGCTGGTTTGCAAAATGGAAGCGCAGTCGTGTCAATCTCAGTGACCAATCTTTACTTGTGATGAAAAGTGGATACTGTACGATACGAACCCTGGAGATCCAGCCAAATCCTGTTCTAAACGAAAATTGACTTAGAGTTACTTGCGAGTGTAAACGGAACTCACGCATAAAGTGTCTGACAGGTTACACAGACATAGTTGACAGGTACAGTTTGTATGGGAAAATAAAATTGTTGCTTTTTCCATTCTCCATGCAATTTTTCCATAATTTTTCATCGTTTAAACATTCCCTGGAGTGCCACAAATATTTCAAAACCAAAATTAGCCAAATCGGTCCAGCCGTTCTCGAGTTTTAGCGAGACTAACGAACAGCAATCTATTTTTATATATAAGAAGAAGATGATTTATATAATATCATTGGGTAAAAATATTATAATCAGCCTAATAAAATAATAAGGCTCAGGATCGTACTAAGTGGCAGTCTACGGGGGAGGCCTATGTTCAGCAGTGGACTCAAACAGGCTGAAATGATGATGATGATGATGAATTTATGTTAAGCCTTGATGACGTCGCTCGTCGGTCCTTAGTAGGTGTACATTCGTACATTCTTACGAACCTAACGTATTAGTTTGAGATACATAAATTCTGAACCTAATTTATCTAATTTATATCTTGACGACGCCAATGTGTGGAGTTAATACTGTTGATACTCACGTAGGCTAAATTAAGACTTATACCTGTACTATTATATTGTAATGTAATCTTTAAAAAAAGAGTCTTGAGTTTATTGCGAAACGTAGTGATTTAAACGTAGTGATTACATTCCCTTTGGTCCCGTCTCTTAAACGTAGTGATTACATTCTCTTTGTTTCTTGCCTGTTTTTTCTTAACAGAAACTGCTTTCCGAACCGGTGGTAACTTACTCACGAATGTTTCGTATTAATTTTTATGTAAAATTTTGACGTTACAAGTGAATAAAGATATTTTGAATGTGAATTTGATATCATTATGTCTTTGATTCTCTTCTATATTATTAGCCTATAATAAATATTGTATGTATAAATACACATACGTCCTCTTTGCGTAATTGGCAACATCAAAACCACGTCTACTTCGGACGAAGAACAATATATCTCAAAGCAATCAAAATGTGCCTGTCAATGCCTTAGCTTCGTTGACTTGCGTAAAAGTAAATAAATTACAACGCATTAAAATTTTGTGAGCATAATTTACAAAGAAAAAGAAGAAACTAGAAATGTTATCCGCGGCAAAGGTTCGTATCCACGGGATGCAAGACGAAAATTGGATAATTAAAGACAAAATCAATCAGTATCGAGGACTTATCAAATTGTATGGCAAGTACAAACTTATAAGATATATCTATAAAATATTGCAATAAATATATGGTGGTGGTTTTCAAAGCCTTCGAATAACTTACTTTAGCATTTGGAAAAAGTAAGGTTCAGCCAATATGTGTCCCACTGCTGGTCCTTTTCCTTTGTCTGCCGGCTCTAAAGCGGATATTAGCCATTTGATCATTTGACTTCCATTTTTTTTGTTATTATTATTTAGAAAATATACACGAGTATGAAATTATCAAATTCATTGGTGCCGGCACTGGGTATTGAACTCAGATTGATCGATTAATTTGAATTAATATCGAGTATTCGGATATTTAGAAGAACAAACGTCGTTATGGTGTTACGACTTTTAATTTGGCTTTAATTTATTAAATAAAAAAGGTTTGAGATTACAAGATTTACATCAAGTGATTCTATTTATGATGGAGAATCCTCCTATTTGGAGTACCCACACATTGCTATTACTGCTATAGATTAATTTTACTTATTTTTTTATATTAATAAAATTATTTTAAATTTTTCTATAAATTTTTCAAATAATATAAATTGGGAAAACTGAGTAATCGAAATAAAGTAGTACAGAAGAGTGAGACCATGTAACACATCTTATTATATCCCAAATATAACATATAATTATTTAAAGCAAATAATTTTGTATTTTATAGTATTTGAGTAAACATAAAGTATTTATTAATTATAGTTTTAGCTAGGGGTTTATTAGAAGAATTATAGACATTGTACTATAGTTTTACTCTCAATTTTTCTATGAACAATTTTTTTTATAAATCGTTTTATAATTATAGAACGTGACCGTAAGATCCATGAAGGTGACTTGGCCAGGCAGAAACGACGATATTCTCGTGATATCCGTCAACTTCGTAAAGACATAGCGACGAAAAGACAAGAATTAGGTGTTGCGGTTTATGGAGACAAGCAGTTCATGAGAAATGCCTTCCAAGAACATCGGCGGTTACAATTGACTTACATGAACAGTCCAGCTGACGTAAATAATAATGATATTTTTATTTCAGATAATTTACAATCCATATGTATGTTAGTAAAACGGAAACTTAAAAATCTAGTGTTAACATTAGTAAACAGATATCTAATAACATTATGAAAGATATTCATTATGTCATTTATTGTCTGCCGCGGTTAAATAGACGCACTACTGAACTATCCCATCTGGCTGCCAAAAGAATCAGGAGAGTATTTTCGCTGCTTAACATGCGCGTTAACAGCGAGGCGCTTCTATATCGCATTATAGCGAAAAATATCATTGACTTGCTTCAGTAAACATTGCTAAACCTTGGTTATCCCAACATACTCATCAGAATTCTCCCCGGCCGAAACAGAATTAACCTGACAAGTGTACCAATGCTTTAAGAGCTCTATAATCTTCATCGGTAGAAATGATGTCTAGATTTTATAAATAATTCCTAAATGTTGCAGGTTTCTTCATAAGTAGTACTCTGTATATTATTTTACTTTTTTTTCAAGAATTTTTATTCTAAATTAAAAGCGGTAAAAAAATCTGATGACATGGTTTACCAATCGTATCATCAGTTACAAATTTTAATAAACCTTTGTCTCAATTCAGTACAATTCCATAATGTCGTAGTGTAACTGAAATAACTATTTGCGGGTAATGAGCAAAAATATGATTTGCAGAAAGTTTTGGAGAGCATTCATCAGGAAAACTTTAACAAGAGAAAACAACTCGATCGCATCAGGTACACGAAGAAAAAGAAAATGGAGAAATTTCGAAAAACACAGGTATAAATAAATAATGAATATGGGTCATATCGTCCTTTTGTTAATAATAATACTTGCACGACACTCAGTTTTAGTTATAATCGACAATTGTATTTTTGTAATTGTAGTTCTTGAAATTATATAGATTGTATTTGTAAACGGAGAGCAATCGTTTATATAACATTATAAAGCGTCATTATGATACGATATCAAATGGCGCTTAATATTCGCTATATTCTCTAAATGAAGAAGTTAACATCAACTGAGATCAAATGGAGAATCAGTTTATGGATTTATGAATATATAAAAAACGTTCACGCTACTAACGATTTAACTACTAACGCGACCAGATACCTCTTCAGATATGGCTTCTAGGGACTTCTCCTTTATACGAGTAATGGGAATGAAACCGAAGGTAAATGCCATGTACAGAACATTAACATTGAACATACAAGTTATAATTGTTTAAAGAAGTTGGGAGAGTACTATTTCTTTATGTATAAAGTTGGGAAACGTAAGAGGAGTTTACTCAATCTTATATTTTAGTGATTACCGCCATCCATAGACACCTACAACACAGTGAAATATAAAAGACTGCTTGTAATTACTGGCTCATCATATCAGTCGTGAAATTATAACAATTATTCTGTAATTTGTTTCCATTTTTACACAAGTTCTTAAATAACCTTTACGGATTAATTTTTTTATATCTTTGTTGACATTTTTTGTTTCATTACTTGCAGCTCGAATCAGCAGAATTACGAGATCGTCTGTTATTTGAGGTGGGGGGAAAATTGCCAGCCGAGAAAAAAGAGCAAGCCGTTGCGAATTACGTTCAGCGTGCTAATATTAAAAAGAATGCTGCTTTGGCTATAAAAGTCATGTATAAAAAGATACTAGACATTTTGAAAAAGGTTGTCATAAATTACACTGAGAGTTGAGTTATTGAATAACTCTTGATTCATTCCTTCGATTGAACTTCTAGGATTCGTCATACTTTACGGTAGTTTTGGAAGCTTTAAAACTGGATTGCCGAGCCCAAGGCAAATGCCTAATGGGTGCTACTGAAATGGGACAGCTTGCAATGGAATATTTAGATGATAGAAAATTCGAGTTTAACAAGCTAGAGAAAGAAATCAAAGCAAATATGAAAGAGAGGGAACGTACACTAAAGATTGTACGCCGCGAAGTCGCTTATTTGACAGAATCTTTTCCTGATCTAATTCGTAAAGAGGTAAGTTGTTTTGTTTAATTTCTCTTAGGTTTCCTTTTTTTTTTTATAAAACAAGGCTTCTACTTATTTATCATAAGCGATAGAGATACTGGTACTATGAAAGGTTTGTACTTATCCAAAATTCATGTTATTGGATTATATGAAATATCGTCTCCCATTCTAATTGAGTTATGTAAATAATTAAAGTATTATATATCATTAATTAAGTTTCTAATAAATTTAACTAATGAATGATTTAATATAGACGATACGTGGATTTTTACTTACATATATAAAGATTAACCATGTTTTTGTAGCTTGTTAAAATTTGCTTAGGGTATAAGACCTTCTAATCATCAATGATTGTAAAACAGGAGGCAACAAATCTTGACGATTTATACGAGGAGCAGGATAATGCAAGCCTCCACTCTGTTCACTGGGAGCTCGAAGAAGTTATGAGTATTTGCAAACGACTTCAACGAGGAACATTGGTCTCTTCTTTCGATCAAATACTACTCAGGTTCACTATCAGGCGTAAACTATAATCCGTTAAATATTTTTTGATTAAATCTTTTCAATATTTCTCACCCATTATTCATAAGATTGGACTAATTTTAAATAAGTATTTTTTAAAGGTTAAAGGAGCAGAGATATCAATCTGACCGTCTTATGATGCAGTTGACACAAAATAGCTTAAAAAGAGATGCGTTAATCGAAGACCGTAAACATGCTATCTTGATGCTCGATTCTTTAAAAAACGTTGGACAGGAGAGGACTGCTCAGTAAGTTCAATTTTTTTATAATTTGTGGCAAGTTTTTATTGGTTCGTAAAAAAATGTGTGGCAATTTTAAAGGTACGTTTTAGAGAAAGGTCAGCTGAGAGCGGCGTTAGAGGCAGAGCAACGCGAAGAAAAGAACCTCACGAAAGCTTTACATGAAAAGGGGAAACTTATCATTGAAATGAAAACTTCTCTGCAGCAAATTAATCAGTTGCTTTCGTCAGTTGGTGAGTAAATTAATGATTTACTGCAATAATAGAACCTTCTGTGGTTGTAGGCATGCAGGCTTATTTTTCTATTTATGTATTCGTTTTTATTTATTGTAATGAACTTAAGTGGCACTGTATAAAATTATCCCAAACATCGGAAAGTTGTGGTTAATTTGGTGGTTGGATCCCTTAAAGGCACTATTACATTTTTCCACAAAGTTTAATGTTTTTCTGGTACCATTAGATAAGGAAACAAAACTAAGGTTTCTAAAGTACGAAATTAAAGGTAATATATTCATATTTAAAGGTACCGCATAATTGAAAATGTCTTGTATATAATTTTTCCATAAAAAGGATTTTTCCATTGAAATAATTTTGGAAAAAGACAAAAAAATTGAATCTAATTAGGTACCAGTATTAGTTAAATTATTAGATATTTTACTACCAAACAAAATGAATTAAGGCTTGTGAGTCCGCAACGTAATTAGCTATTTTTTGTACTTAAATAAACTAGGTTTTCATTTATAAAACACTAACTGTTGCTCGCGACTACGTCCGCGTGGAATAGGATGAAAGCCTAAAATTCAGACAGATACAGACAGATCTGTACAATAATATAAATATTGTATCACTTTATCTTACTTATCATGGCGAAGCAAGCTGCTGTTGGAAATTGTGTGCGCTTTAATTGGAATGAGAAGTTGTTGGGATTGAGATTTTTTTTGTTTATTTTTTTTTGAACATTGCCCTTATTTAAGGATGAGATTATCCTGTGTAGTAATGACGTCTTACATAAAATTCACGTAGAAATTCACCCACATCCGAAATAATTACTATGGATCACACAAATTATTATCCCGTGTGGGAATCAAACCCACGCCGAAGAACTTTCAATGTATTAAATACCTTTTTTTTATTGTTATTTTTATTATAGATTATATTAACTTTTATATATTGTCGTCTTTTCTACAAACGTAGAATAAGGCGAAAGATAAAATTTTTGAAAAGGTTTTTATTTTATTATGCCAAAGAAGTATAACTTCTAATGCGTGTAAATAACTACACACACACTTTTTTTTATTACAAGGGGATTATCGCTATAAAGTTTGTTAAATACAATCAGCTATATAGACAAGTATAGTATTATTTTAAATTAGAAGTGGTTATCAACGGGCTATCATAACTCAATATTAAAATATTTAAAAGAAACCCACCTGTGTAGTACTAATATAGGCATCTATGTTATGACTATTTATTTTACACATAAATTTTTATGATATCCTTTCCTATGAATATATAATTCTCCCACATCAGCATTGACTTTTTAATAATTCTTAATATGGGTACAGTTGAATACACCCATTATAATAGGAATATGTGCAATACCCGAAATTTTCACATTGTTTCCTGCTGCTCATGTAATAATAAAATTTTTATGTAATATATATAATTTATTATATACAACGCTTGTATATAAATGAGCACACGAAAAGATACTGATTTCGTACAACTTAGTTAAACATTCTAGCTATAGATATACAGGGTGGCTTTTCTAAGTGTATCCATTGTTTTTATTAAATTCAAGACATAAATAATGTTATATAAAAAATGATAAATATTAAAAATCACTCGTAAGTAATTAATTACATTCATTTGAACTTATCTCAAAAAGTGCGTGATTTATACGCAACTCATTTATTTTACGCGCGATCAATCATAACTAACACGCACACAAGTTCGTGCACAGTAAAATTTAGGTATTTATGAATGACTACCGCATTGTCAAGACGTTATGTTTTTTAAGGAATGGAACGGCATTTTTTTTTGAAAAAAAAAAAACTGTTTTTTATTTCAATAAACGATTATACTACTGAGCCTGAACCTCCTGTGTAAATTTGGGCACTTCTCAAAAAATCTCCCTATATTTGTCTACTTTTATTTTTAAAGTAGTATACCTAGAAGAAAAAAAATGGATGTTGCTCACTGGCCCAGGCCTTGTAGTACCGGTCACCCATTTCTCGGGGCCCATGCTTCCATATATACGCGGGTTACCAGTGAGAGCAGCCCGGGCTGATTTCAGAGTTCCCGTCGTGCCTCAGTACGCTGTCCGTCACTGCCGTGTATTTGTGCCGTATTGCCATTTTCAAGTTGTATTCTTGAACCATGCAATTACCAGCGTTCGTGGCTTCTTCTAACAGTCTACCCAAAGCCTTGTCGCAGTCATCAGTGTTGTACACACAGCTGCCTACATGCCGTGATATCGCTACCACAGCATGCTGTACACTCTCGTGCAGTTTCATCTTTTCGCCTTCGTCCTAATCACCACGCCTGAAAGCTGAGTAGGTCCCTGAGCTTCATAAATAGTTAGTAGCGCGACCCTGATCTAGACATAATTTCTTGGTTCTAGAGGGATTCTTTTTCATCTTGTGTATAAACTAGGTAAAGGGTGTTTGGGAGGTATCAGCGCACCCGTGTATCTTTTGCGTCGCAAGGGCTGCATCTGGAATTTGGATGAGTATATGCCGCTATAAATCTCCTTGAGGGCATACGTTACATCAATTGGATTTCGGCTTCAGCTCTTTGCTTATAGAGACGATGAGACTCGGCCGAGTGTACAATATTGGGAAGAGATTATCAATATATGTAATCGTTGACAATATTCACGTTTGGGTAAATGTTTTGAAGACCTTCAGTCCGTAACCATTTAAACAATGTCAGCATTGCTTCGACCCTCATTTTTATACGGCAGTGAGCACGAAAATGGAGATATTCTTCCGAATATTTTTTTATGTTTATGTGAGGTGGCAAGCGAGCTTGCGCTTCACTTGATGGTAAGCGATCACCGCGGTTCATAGACATTAGCAAAATCCGAGGAGTAACAACTGTGATGCCAGCTTTAAAGGTGGGAGTAGGCTCTCTTCTTGAAGGTCCCTGAGGTGTATCGGTCCGGAAATAAGACTGGTTCCACAAAAGATTAAAACAGACATAAAAAAACATTAAGTCCATTCAAAATTGAGCTTTATAAATCTAATTTAATTTTTGTACCTATTAGAATATGTACTTAAATACTTTGAGTTATCTGTCCTTATCATCACTGAATTTTTTGTCACGACTGGCCGCCCCCTAATAACGGGCCGCCCTAGGCCGGGCCTACTGGGCTTAGGGTAAATCCGCCACTGTTCTTTTTCTTTATTCTTGTATTAACTGATGTCCAAACATCAGTGAATACTTGAAACAACTTTCAATGCCGAGACTATCAAAGCTTCATCTGACGCAGAACCTGTGGGCTAGCCCGAACCCACGGGTTTGGGCCCCCCGCTGTGGGTAGGGCCGCGCATGTACTCATGCGTGCGTTTAACAACAGCATGTCATCTAAGGGCCATCGAGGTTGCGGTGAGTACCAAGACCCCGATGGCCGTTGACTGTGTCTTACTTCCCCGTACTTCCCCGAACGAGCCTGCAGATTCATGCAAAATCAGAGCAGCTGCAATTAGAATAGCTGTTACAATATAAAGTGAAGTAAACTATGTATCCTAAACTATGTATATAAATAAAACTATGTATCCCACTTCTCTGCAAAGCCATCCTCTATGCAAAATGGGTTGATTGGCGTAATAGATACTGAATTTTTCTCTTGCGCCAGAGGTTATGGATTCAAAGCCCACAAAAAATAGAAAAATGGAAACGTATTGTGTGATAAACAAACAAATATTTTTGTGGTGTGTACTATTTTATATATTTCTGATATTTTACTTATAAAAGAAAAGCATGTTTAAGTATGTTTATAAGTTACCTATTATCCACAGTACCAGCTTTTCTAAGTTTTCTACTAGATATCATCGTGTAAAAATATATGTCCTGAAAATTTCCTATCAGGGGATAGGCCACTAGCCCACCACGCGATCCCACCGCGGACCTACTACAGTGGAATCATTAAAAATTATGTTTTTATTTTATTTCATTATAAATCTAATGTTGATGAGAAAGTAATAACTACATTTCACTCTGTTTAGGCGCTCCAAGCATGCCGCGACCCGCTTCTGCTGTGCCCGCGGCTCTCCAATACGCGCTGGACGATGCTATTCAACCTGTCCCCGAATTAGAAGCTGATCGTTAGTTTCTTATATAGCATATAAAGGAATTCTATGCATAATACATAGAACTTAATACGTTGTGGAATTCATTACCATGAACTCTTGTCGTGGTCAAAAGCAGGTGCTGCTGAAAGAAGAACAAATAAATAAACTTTGCCAATAATAAATGCTTATACGCAACACATACAATTAATATGTAAAAGAAGTAATACATATAATTATAAACATATACATTATTAAGTATTATCTCAATATCTATAATTTAACGTATAAATAGATACAAATATACTTCTTTTATCTTTGATTTGATGTTTTTGGAATTGGTTTGATTTTATCAGGGAGGAAGTTGGAGAGGAGGGTTAGGTTGATGTTGATATAAGATTTTATAAATATTTTTCGTACCCAAAACCTACAAATTTTAAGTTACATCGTAAGTACAAAGACATACTAAAATTTTATAAATTTGAAATAACTAAAGCGATATTTCTAATTTTCAAACATAATAATTATAAAACTGTCAAGAGTGAATAGGTTTTTACTGAGCTAACGCGTTTACAATCGAAACCTGCATCGCCACTTACCATCAGTTGGTTAATAAAGTTAATGTAGATAAGTCTGAGATTTATGTGCGGTGAGTATCGACTGCTAAACTGTATTATCCGAAAGGCGCGGGTAGGAATCCAGGCAGCGGCGAAAATTTTTTCTTTTATTTATGTTCACATCTTGACTAAGAGTAGAGTTATTGTATATATTATAAGTATATATAAAGAAGAGTTAACGGAAACGGAATTCTGTAGCAACGCTTTTGTCGAATAGAAAGACAGTTAAACTTGGAACGGTAAGAAGAGACGTGGTCGTATTAATGTAAATCGAAAAGCCAAGAAGCATTGCATAACTATAGAATTACCTTTTTATATACTATAGAATTAAGTATAGAACTTTTTTTAGTTTTTCAACTAAAGAAGGCAGTTTCAGTATTTCTGTTGTTTGGGGTGTATTAATGTCATCCTCATCATTTTCTAGCCGTGTTCGCCTACAGTGACTGTTTTCTGATGATGAGAGCGTCGCTGATGCGCCGATATAATAAATAGCCGGAGGTGGTCTTCAACTCGTCGCATTTAGAGTCCAGATTACTAGTATTCAACATTTACAGATGCTTAAATATAACGGAAAACCAATAAAAGCAAAAATAAAAGATCATTTTCTATTATAGTCGACAAGCTGATATCAAATGCTCGCCAAAAACTAAATGTGCTCGTTCAGGCGATTTCAAAAATGGATGTGACAGGAGACATACGAGCCCAAGCCAATCAATTTTATCATAATATCCTAGCGAGGTCTATGCGGGACAGTTATAAAGAGGAAACAGTTGCAGAAGGAGGTTAGTTTTTTTTGCAATTATTAAATCTAAGCTAAATGTAATCAATTAAGCCTTTAACACGGTAATAAACTGGCGACGCCAAATCTTTTCATGTAGGCAAAAGTATGTTTAAAAAAGACTAATTGTTCAATTTTATTGCTTAACAACAGGACTCATAGAGTTTGAAATCGAGGATCCGAATGTGCCAAGTCACGCAGTCATCAAGCTTCGCAGCAAGCAGTTGGTTGACGCACAAGTTAGTGAATTCGACGTAGTTGAACAGCCTTCTAAGAAATAATTCATATAGGCGGTTAAACTTTTAATTGTAGAGATTTTTCTACTTCCAACCCTATATCCAAAATGTATTTAGTTTTGAGCTTTTTTTACAAAGCGTGTATTTTTAAAAATTATAGCATTTTTATTACAATTCGAACCTTCGAACTTATTTGCCCTTTTAATTTCATTCGTAGTTATCCTCTCTCTATAACGTACTATCTATATCATAAAACAGTGATTCTCAACCTTTTTTTTGTTGCGACACATATTTAACGATTTCAAAATTTGGCGGCATACAAAGAAAAAGATAAAAATTATTTACTTACTACAACACACTGCATAAATAGTTTATGACAAAAATTTTAAATATACGAAATAAACTAATATATACTACGAATAATATATACGTTATAAACTAATATATACGCGAAGAAATACAGACACAGTGTGCGTGTGCAGCAAGTCAGCACATAAGCTCGGGATTCCCCGTGAGATGTGTACACAGCGCACGTGTTCAATCACAGTAGCATTTAGTAGAGTGCGATAAAAACAAAAAAAAAAACTTATTTGGAAAACCGTGTAAGAGCGAAAACGTGTAAAACAAGTACTGTGTAAATCGAGGGATAGGTGTACTGCAAAGTTAATAAGTTTACAAATTTATAAATTGACACTACATGCAAATAAATTAATATTAAACCGAATCACATACATTTGCCAATTTTAACGAAAGAAAAGGTACAGTAACTACTACGCAACACCTTGTGAATCCCAACTATGACTAAAACAACACGTTTTGTACGCAGAAGTGGGAAGTGTGCGCCGACTTGAGACATATTATATGAGACTATTGCTATGCACGCCGCTTCATCATAATTTGGCACTAAGAAAAAACGCGTTGCAAAGCAAATAATAAAATAATTTATTTTTTTGTGGATTTAAATATATATTCATGTTAAAAATATTTTGTTTTAAATGATATAATTTAATAATATTAACATTATTATATATTTGCAAAATTTGGCGGCACACTTTTGAAATTTGACGGCACACAAAAGTGCCGCGGCACAGTGGTTGAGAATCACTGTCATAAAAATATAAATTGGTTTACTGGTAATTGAATTGTAATCTGAAGTACAACTTAATTGCAAGTAAAGTATACTTAGATAAAAAGTTTTTGAACAAAAAAGAACCAATTTCAAAAATATCTATTGGTACTAAAAAGTTTCTAATACTAAATATAACATAATCAATTCTTGAAAATCTGACCTATATAAGCTTTTTTTTCGTGAGAAAAATCCTTTATGTATCCCCCGCCGCCTTGGAAGTTACGTGAGTACCCATTAAAAACCCAAGTTGCACCTGCGCTGCCGATTTTGCCGGGACATAGGAACACGAAAACGCAATCTTCCGCGAACCCCGGCGCGACTGTGGCCTTCTCAGGCTTCCTCTCCCGGGTGTTAGGGACACCCGGTCCAGTCAAATGGTGCCGAGTCGGTGCAATGAGCACGACAGCCCTCTCAAGCCCTCCGCGGGGCAGCAGTTAGTGAACCCATATAACCTAATCCAGCCTACCTACTACCAAAATTTAACAAGTTTTGGTGTTGGTGACTTTGTTTACCTTAATTGTTTGAATACACATTCATTGTGTTAACCTTTTAACCTGCTTAACCTTTTCGAGTGTACAGACGTTATATAATGTTATGTGATTGCACAAAACATAATGCGTGGTAGATTTCCTGTCATTTTTTGAAGAGTTCCATTGTCAATCTCCGAAACTCATCATGAGATCTACCTACATGAAATTCAAATGGGATCACTCCTGAATAAACCCCGTTCGAAGAAAAAAAAAAAGAATTTTAATAATTCGTCTATACAGGGAGGCTTTTCTAATTGTTTAATTAAAAAAAATGGATACCATTTTTTTTAATTAAATTCTAGACATAAATAATGTCATATAAAAATGATAAATATTTAAAATCACCCGCATTAATTGCATTCATTTTTTAACTTATCTTAACAAGTGCGTGATTTATGGGAAACTCATTTATTTTACGCGCGATCATTTATAACTAATACGCACACAAGTTCGTTTCAAAAGTATACGACGCATTTATGAATGACCTACCGCATTTATAATTTGCCCAGATTTCATCGTAATAAAGATAATATCTTCAACAAATAGGATCTCCAAATATTTAAATAAGTTATTATATATCGTATCATGAGAGGTGTCAGTTACATTGAATACTAAAAGACAAAATTTCATACTCTTAATTATATTTTTAATGAAGTTCATCCAGCCATCGTCCGCTGATTAAGGGACCTATTAGTTTGGTGAGACAAACGAAAAAACGCTAAATTAATATTTAACTACTCTACATATATAAGTTTCCGTTAATAATATCTTTAACAACTACTTTGCTGTCGTAATAATAATGCACCTAACTGTTTTAGGTGTTAACTGACCGAAGTATGAAGTACACAAGTATCTAAATAATTTGCGATCACGAATAGTATCTAAATATGTTTGATGGACATTAAGTTTAAATAAAAACAATTAAAGCATTTAATAATTTAATTGAAAAATATGATATAATTTTTATGATTAAGTAACAATCTGAACTTTAGATCCGTTGTACTTAGTAAACCGTGGACAATAATATTAGGTTGGGGAAAAACTCTTTTCGCAAATAGTATGTATGTACTTAGAATATAATCTCTTTGGCTATACCATTTGTATCTAGCTGGTTTTGGTATCATTAAAAAGTTTACATTTTAAAAAGATAATTCCAAATTCAAATTAGGAAAATGTGTGATTTTCATTTGCTTTTCTTACAGTTGAGATGAGTGATTCTAATGAAGAAATCCGATACATTTTAAAATTTAAAAAAAAGGTAAAAATGCAACGCAAACCGCGAAAAAAATTTGTGATGTTTATGACCTAGAGCAGTGTCTTTGAGAGTAGCACAAGTTTGGTTTAAGCGTTTTCAATCCGGAAATTTTGATGACAAAGATGCCCCTCGCCCTGGGCGCCTGTTACGGATAAAATGGATGCCATTTTGGAAAAAGTGAATTTTCAATGTAGCTTAAGAATTGGGAATTGACCACAAAACAGTTTTGGCGCATTTGAATAAAGCTGATTACACAAAAAAGCTCGATATTTGGGTGCCAAATGAGGTCACTGATAGAAACCTAATGAACCGTGTACTCATTTATGATTCTTCATCACGACGTAATGAAACCGAACCATTTTTGAAAAACCTGATAACTGGTGATAACCTGAGGCTGGTCAGGCTTCACAGACTGGCGAAACCCGGGTTATCTCGCAACAAGGTAATGCTGTGTGTATGGTGGGATTGGAAGGGCATTATTCATTATGAGCTGTTAGCGCCAGGCAGGACCATTGATCCTGAACTCTACTGCGGACAACTGATGAGATTAAAGCAAGAAGTTGAGAGAAAGAGGCCGAAAGCAATCAACAGAAGGGGTGTGGTTTTTCATCATGATAACGCTAGACCTCACACACGCCACACAGCCACTCAGCAAAAATTAAGAGAGTTTGGCTGAGATGTGTTAATGCATCCGCCGTATAGTCCTGACCTTGCACGTTCAGATTTCTATTTGTTTTGGTTTCTTTAGAATTCTTTAGGCAGTGTCAGGTTAATAATCACGAGAGGACTGCCAAAACCACTTGTTCGGTTTATTGATCAGAAGCCCCAGAATTTCTATAGCAATGGAATGATGTTCCTACCTACAAGATGGCAGAAAATTATCGAACAAAATGGCACCTACATACTTTAGTTAAATGTAAATAAACTTTGTTAAAAAATGTTTTAGATTTTTCATATAAAATGAGAAGAAACTTTTTCCCCAACCTTTTATTAAGGGCAAGTTTTAATCTACGTATGCTCATAACATTGTTACCAAACTATAATATGACCTTATACACCTAAATGTTGATCTAAATAAAGAACAAATAAAGAAAAAAAGCAAATGTACCTTACTAATTAACCATAACACAAACCTGATAAACGATGTAAACTAATCAAATGTATTTAACAGTTAAGAAAACATCGCTTCTTCATGTCGCCTGTGCTTTTCTTAATATTTTTAAAAGAGAATGTAATATTTTTACCCATGCTTAGATTGTTTAAATTTCTTGCATAGCTGAGGTATGTCTGTCATATCTCTATACATATATTATTTCTCAAAAGTGCTCTTGGTACTTTATATCAATTAAATGATTAATTAATGCCTTTAATTATATGCTACTATCGATGTGAAATTGAAAAGCAGAACCAAAATAATATTTTCATTAAAAAACATGTATTTAAAAAAATAATGTATGCTATTGACAGTTATTTAAAATAAAGTCAGTAAAATGGACTGCAAAACATTATCTTTTAAAATAAGATAATAATAATATAGATAATAAAATAATAACAATCGGCGACTGATTCGTACCTGCATCTATGCGAAAATTTCGCACGGGTCAACTAGCGTAAATACATTCATTATGTATATAAGAGTATGTAGATTCCTTGTATTTATTTGTATGGAAAGAAAAAAGCTTCTCTTTAAAATAAAAATCCACAATACGTCTATTGAACACATTGTTAGTTTACAAAGCGAGAAGGCACTTTCAGGTTTAAGCGGTTGGACGGGGGAATGGAAATACTTTCGATTTAGTTCGCTTCGTGTTGTGTCATGGCCGTATAGATCGGGTAAAGCGGACTGCGGAGACGCGGTCATGCGTGTTGTGGTATTTCAACCGGCTGCACGGGCGGAGGTTGAAATGAGCGCACGATGCTTATTAGCGCTGTGTAGGTTCCCGCTAGTAGGCCGACGATCCCGATTACGAAGAGCAACACGTCCTTCGCCAGGAGCAGCTTCGGCGTGCGGGGATACTGCAGGAACGCCTCCATTATAGCGGGGAAGCAGATGCCAAGTGCCGACAAACAGAGGGCGCCAAAGAGCGAGATGAACAGCCCCAGGCGCGGCACCGATACCGCCAAAACAACTGTGGATGCGAGTTAGGGTTTTTTAGTATGACCGTCACACCTTATAAATCACCTTAAATTGGTAGGTACCAGATGATGTTCCAACGTTGCACATTGGAACACATCTGAACGATTCTCGTTCTCAAACGATTAAAATGTAGCTTAATCGCACTTAGAGCAACTTTGAAATAAGTAGTTGTGGTACTATGTCGACGATATCAGAACCTTGGTAAAACCACTTTCCATTTCATGGTGCGAACGTTCGAGGAACTACGAACTGGGTGTTCATATTTTTTCGTAGCTCAAGAGTTGGTTGATTCTACGAGGTCTCATATAGCCAACGTTCACCACGGCAGCTTTGCTTTACTCGCGAGATCCAAACCAATATTAAGAAGATTTAAAAGTTTATAAAAAAAACTAACCCAAGAAGTTTATAAAAAAACTCATAGAAAGAGTGTTGAGTGTTATATCAAATATCGAAACAAAAATGTTTCGATATTTTATATAACACTCCTACATCCAGAAATGCAGACAGACTTAGTTGCAAACCAAGATAATGGGAAAGATGATGATGATGATAGTTAAGTTGTATAGAAATGGCATTGACACCCTAATCTCAATTAAGTTGTCGCGTACAACTGCTCTGTCCATTGATAATACGCTTAGAAAATAATGAAACGCTTTTGATTATGGTGACCAATGCCTTTTATCCGTTGTACCGGCCAGTTTTAGATAAGGCAGAGTTTTTTTCTTCTACTGGTTATCTGGCATGAACCATTTGGAGTCAATTTTCAGACGATAGGTACTCTCGATATGTTTATGTTTCCTAAGAAGCTATCTTCAGAATAGCAAAAAATACTTAATTCTAATATTATTGTGTTGTTGTTATTTTTGAACATATACTGAAATGATTCATCCATAATTATGTCCTAACGTTGGTAATATATAAAAAATGTAATAGAAATAATCGAATTGTTCTTTTTAAATAGATTTTGTATAATCAACGAGTTTGGCCTAAAACAACGAGATCTTAAAAATGTGAAAATGTTCCGTGAAAATATTTTCTTATTTATTGAATAACGTTAAAGAGCGTGAAATATATTACATATACATTGTTAGTTTTATTAAATATGTTATATATATATATATATATATATATATATATATATATATATATACATATATATATATATATACATAATTAGGATTTTCATTGAATAAGAGTCTGTGAACCGTTTACATTACCTTTTCGAAGAATTAAACTCATTTAGAATTAAGAACACTTACAAGTGAGGAGACAAAGTCCTACACGCAGCCCATATTCCCAAAGACGCAGACGGTTCGATCCAGATTTCTCCAGCCAAGGCAGAAGATATCCCTTCCACAGCACCTCCACAGGTACGTAGCAATGCAACCCATAGCTAATGAATATAGCTACGGCAAACATTACTATCACCGTTGATGCCAATCTGGAATAGTTGATTGTTTATTTGATTAAATAAGGAATCGATGATATTTCGTAGAGACAGACTTCATGATGACACGACCTAGTGTACCTGTTTCTAGTTGAGCCGTGAGTACAAACTTTGCTAAGTTTTGCCCTAATAATCAGAAATAATCAGTCCACACTAAATATTATAATTAACAAAATTTGAAGAAATTAATTTGAAAGAAGAAGTGCGAAAGAATTAGAAGAGAGCGTCCGGGGATTGAGCAACAGCAGGATGGTACCGTGTATTTGTCAATGATTATTTTCATCACCTTATATTTATGGAGACTACTAGGCGATATTTGACGTTAAGTTATACAATGAAAGATATCGAGAGACTTTCCTAGGAGATACTGGAGTAGTGGTACATTAATATTAGATCTGATAGAAAAGTTAGCGTTATCCTCCAGCCTGTATGGACTTTGCTCTCAACTATTTATAGCCCCTACTTAAAGCGGAATGTGTCATCACACGGGAATTGAATAGACGTCGCTTTCTTACGTCACGTGTGTCCGTCATCGCTCAATTGGTGAATCTTATTAATTGATTCGTATCTCTGTATCGAGCAGACGACCTCATTTTTTACCTAGTAAGGTATTATTTATTCATGTCTGGTTTTATATCATTTAATTCCATATAAAATTAAACGCCGTTAAATAATTGTTCAAATGTTGGTAAGAATTTATAACCATATTGTGCCTATAATCAAGTCTATGTTTGCGTTGTTATTAAGTTATTGAGCTTCGTAACAGAGTTTCATATTGCGATTTAGATTAAGCGTTTCTTATATGAATAATATTATTGTACTAATGTTTATTTCCTGTCCAGTGTTAAATCTAATGACAATTATGCGTGACTTCAAGAACGGCTTTCTTGATGCGCTTCCTATAAAAGCTTTTTAAGCTTTTGAATTTTTTTCAGCCCATCTAGTAGAGACACTATATACTTTTTAGTGCTGTACATAGCGAATTAAATATCCTTAACGACTATAACGTGAGTCATACTGAAAGTATGAAAAACAGTTACGGTATTCGAAAAAGGAATTTGAGTCCTTGGAAATCAGAAGAAAAAAGTCGTCTCGTGTCTAATACAATACTAACTTCGTACTTCGTACTGTATCGACTTTTAAAATGAGCTAAGAACAAAACATTGTATATGTATATCTAAAGATTTGGATGGTTTGTGCCCGATACATACCGCATTTATCGTAAAACTAAAAACGACTACGTGTTGAGTAGCGGTATAAGGATACTTATTGGGTGTCAGTATTGGCTGGTGTGTTACGATATTATAGACACTCCATTTCTTTATAACTCAATACAGTGCACCAGAAACTTGAGCGTACTGATTTGAAGTGGTAATAAAAGCTGTTGGCAGAATGGGCTCTCTTTTTGAATTTAAAACTTGCTTATTACACTTTCAGATTTGCCAACGAACACTGGCAAGCAGATGCGGGCTTCTTTCGCAATGAATTATATTGTGTCTTGAAACGAATGGACAGTGACTGCAAATTGCTACATAAACAATTGCTTGCCCTGAGTGTTACAAAAAGTTCATGAAAAGCGTCCCTGCGGCAATGTTAAAGCGAATTCACCATGATAACGCGCAAAGACAACGAATAAATGTTTGAAGGCCTTCAATATGGATACGATAACCTGTCTTTACATTGAATCTGTTTGGAGCCTAGACCACACATTGTGACTTTTTTATTTAAGAAAAAACTTAAGAGCGGCGGTGAAAGTATTACACGGAGGGAAATACAAAGTTCAGCGTTAGATTCAATGAAGTCAAACATCACTGACGGATCTCCCTTCGGCAAATCAAGCGTGATGGAGTCACTGCAGTCAGACACGCAGAACATATAGCCCAGTGCACCAACAGCCACGTACAGCAGCACAATGAATGTCATGCCGGTGTTCAGGACGCCGCACGGTCGACCGAATGACTTGGGAGTCTTCATGTTATTTTCCAACGCGATCACCTATGAAATGAAATACAAAAATAATAAAGCAAGAAATAAAAAAACTCTCTTTCACCATATTTATATTTCCACATTTAATATATAAAATTCTCGTGTCACGGTGTTTATAATTGAACTCCTCCGAAACGGCTCGGCGGATTTTCGTGAAATTGTGTGCATATCGGCCAGGGTGGAGCAATCGGACATCTATTTTTCATCCCCCTAAATATTAAGGGTGGTCCACCCCAAACATTTGTTTCTACCCTACAAATAATTTATATGGCAAAACAACGTTTGCCGGGTCAGCTAGTAAAGCTATAAAAATTAACATTTCGCATAGAATACAAAATCTTTGAGAAGACACAGTGTCTTAATTACTACAATGGAAACCTATATAATCTTTAAAATCAAAATAAAACAAATTAATTATAATTTAATTTCGATATAAATGTCAAATAATTTTAACTAAATTGCAAAAGCAAATGACATATATATGGGACATTTCGTGATAGCTATCAATCTAAAAATTTGTCAACTTCTTCAAGTCCTAACTAGTGTAGTTACATTTATTGTTAGCCTCATAGTGAAATTATTGCAAGAAAAAATTTCAATGTGATTCCGAAACAAGCAAGCTAGCATTAAACAAACCATTGAAATTCGAATTGGATAAAACTGGAAAAATAAATCGCAACGCAATATTTAAATTTTGCCAGACATTTTGCATAACAAATATACGTCGCATAGCATCGTCCACGGATAAACATAAAATAAATTTGTAAACGCTTAGACAATTTCGATAAGACATTTGTATCATAGGCGTATAAACTTACCACTCCCACAGCCGTCAGGGCGAACAATATGGTGCCGAAGAATAGAGGAAATGTTTCTGAGGAGCCCCAGAGGTCCAACGCTGTTTCAGATTTCTCTAAAGTAACAAGGAAATAGATGACAATCCCGAGGCCCACAAGGGTCATCACGTTAGCCAGTGCTGAGAAGGGTGCCAACAATTTGAGACTTGGAATCAAGTTGAATGCGATTAAAGGCCCTAGGATGATTAACATATGGATTTCGACAGCCATCTCGTAGTAAGGGTCGCACACCTGTAATTGAAACATATTCAGTCTATTATTTATTTAATATTTTTTCTGAGCACGGCCAAATTATTATATGTATGAATATTAAAAATTAATTTTATGACTAAGTGAGCTTTCTATTAATATACGTATATTTGCCGCATAATTTTGTTTAGCACCGTGCAATTTCAAAACTCTGAATTTTCAGCCGCCTATGGTCACATGCACAAAGATCTGATCGAATATTTATCGTTTAACCTCGGTCACTCATGTTTATTCTAACAGTGAACAAATATTGGCTTAGAAAAACAATTTAATTTTTTAAGATCAAAAAGGTTTTCTACATCAAAAACTTTGTTAATGCAGGTGTATTAACGTTTTACGAAAATGTTGTACATTTTACAATATTCACAGCAACAAATAGTTTACCATCTAATAATGTTAAGTCTAGTCGCCGCGATCTTACGACATATTTAAAGTACTCTACCCGAGGTTGTGCATGTATTTTAGTATAGATTCGGAATAGATGGTAAGTGTACACTAGCAGCGCGGTGCAAGATGATTAATGTTGAAGTATGATGCGAGGACGTGCGCTGGTTCTGCTACGTTTTCGCCCGCCCACTTAATCAATTTCCGAGTTCGCTACTCGACCTATTGTGGCGTATTCGTCGTACCTTCTAACGCCGGTCAACGAACGTCCACAACAACGATTTGGGCATAACCGAGGTTTAGCCCTTCTAGCATTTAATAATTTTAATAAATCAAATTGTTATGGATACTGTGTTTTTCAGACATGCTACGGCTTACGAGAGAAATAGCGCACAAGAGGAGTTGCTTAAGTTACTGTTCAACCTATCTACCTTCTTAATGTTGTCCGCAATAAACACCATGTAGACACAGCAGATACCAAGTTGATAGATGACAAGGAACAGGTCAACAGTTATGGCGCAGGGTTTCGCGAGGCTTCGGAACGCCGGAGGCCCATTGCTGAAGGCAGTCTGCGCTGCCGCTGGATAGCTCAGCAGGGGCACGTGGAGTTTTTTACAGGCATCATATTGAGATCGAACCTAGAGGAGAGACGAAGGCTAAATGAATTTCTGTCTAATAAATAACCGTCTATTCTATGTTAAATAAACAACATTTCATTATTTTTTATTTTTGTTTATTGGCACAAAAGTGTAAATTACGAGAATGGGATTGGCTCCTGAAATACAGGATGTCCTAGTTTGGGAGTCAAGACGCCATTAAATGTGTATCTAAGTGTATTAACGTTTATTAATACACTTTGATACACATTTAATGGCGTTATGGATATTTGTTTTCTCGTCTGGTTGGGTTTATAGAAAAAAATAAACATGTAGACCTAAGACATAAGAATAGAGAAATAAACATATAGACATAAGAATAGATAGAGAATACCAAACGGCCGAGGGTAAGGGTGAAAGGGAGAAAAACCGGCGGATGATGCGCGCGGTATCGAGGAGTACCGCCTGCATTACAGCTTGGAGCGTTCCGTTCCGGAGGGACTCCGTCGCCTCAGATGGCCGGAAAGGCTGACAGGGATCAACCCATTCGCATATTCCTATGCAGATACTCAGAGTTCGAAAGCATGGAACAACCGGAGATAACATGCCGAAGCGACTCCCCGGGAAGGCGACAAGCTCGACAGATATCGACGGTGTCATCCCTTTCCGATAGTTGTTCGTCTTAATAACCTGTCATTATTATTATTATGTTAAATTAGCGCATTGCTTATTAACTTTTGATTTTTCGGTTAATGTATCAGATACAGAAATAAATCACAATGTATTCAACATTTTTTCAGCCATATTATTTTATTGAGCACGACCGACTGTTACGGAAAATAATCGCAAATAATGCTTGAATCGAGAAAATCGTCGTTAAGGCTGAACAACTACGTAAATAAAAAGGTGGGGGTTGACCAATGAGAAATCCAATGCGTTATCGGAAATCAAGATTACTACTTTTAAATAATTAATTACGGGTTTAATCAATTAAAGTCCATATTAAACTGGATGAAAAAAAGAAGAGTTACACATTTTAGTTGTAAATAAATTGTTTAGTTTAAGATTTATTAAGTCCCCTAAGCATTAATTTTGTTCCGTAACATTAGTTTTTTTAACAAATAAAAACGAATCGCTCAATGTGTTTGGGGCGCACTAAAAGTTTCCGGAATGAATAAGAAAAAAATACTATTTCGGTTAAAAATGAATTTGTTTCTCAAAATATTCTCTCTTTGCATAAATACACAATTTTGACAAAATTTTTGCCAATCCTCCGTGGTGACCTCATAATCTTGTTTTTCATTCTCTCCGACTACCTCTTCTGGTGATGTAATTCGTTGACCGCGTATTTGGTTCTTAATTTTTGGGAACAGAATAGCCACAGAAATAGTCTTTCGTTTGTCTGTCTTGCCGTGTGGGAACTAGTATTGTCGTGGTGCAAGATGATACGGCGTTTACGGTTATTTTTACGCAGATAGCCAATAACTTCCGTCAAACAAATGGTCGTTACGTTATTAAAAAAGAAGCAATCATCCGTTTAGATGCACTGTTCTCACGCGCCGCTTTGGTTGGTTTCAGCTTACCTTAAAAGACCCATACGCTCGATTGCTGCTTTTTTTTAATCAATATTTCGTCATCTGTTACTAGGTCCCACACCAAATTTGACACTGCTTCGTTGAATCTAGTAAGCATGGCCTCGGTCAAATAGTGTGGCATCCACCGTGAGCGTAGCTTTCTCACACCCAAATGTTTGTGAAGGGTTGATCATTGATTGTATTTTCAATTTGGAATCTTGTAGGTCAAATTTCTATCTGTTTTAATCATACGGCGCCCAACATGGATGTTTTTGTTGTTCACAGCGGAGAACTGGCGGCCATCGCGAGATTTGTTACTGAGCTTGAAACGACCGCGTTTGAATTTTTTTTATGTCTTTTTTATGTCAAAAGTGGCTTACGAGCCGGCGGTTCACCTGATGTTTAATAATAACCGCCGCCCATGGACATTTTCAACAGCCGTAGGGTTGCAAAAGTGTTGCCACCTTTAAATAAAGCGGGTTACCTCGCTCATCAGACGAAACGCAGAAGTATAACACTTCTAATTTAAGCCGGTCTTCTGTGTGGACGGGCCTGCCGATGAATTAAACTGCGGTAGGGCCACCCACCACAGTTGAATTCCGCAAACCAGCTATAAATAGTCGTCATATCTAAGCCGGGTGAGGCTCTGCTGAACTATCAAATTACACTTACAATCGTATAAAATCATACTAAGAAAATTTTTCCGAGCTAAATCTGTTAAATCATGTTAATATACACGCAACTATTAAAGTGGCGCCAAAAATAATTGACAGATGAAACAAACTGCATTCTACAGCCAAAGAGTTCCATTTTCAAATATATTTACTTTTTAAATATTGTTTATGTAAGTCGCCAGTTCCGGAAACTTTTAGAGTGACTTATGTATTAAGCCGGAGCCCCAGTTTCCGTCCTAAACTAGGATAGAATTGGTTCAACTTTAGGTGCATTACCTTGATATTATATATCAAGGAGCGAATTAATATAAGGGCGATATCTCCAAGGTCTCCAAATGGAATATATTAACTTATTAAACATTGCTAAAAATTATTCGATCAAAATTTCAAAATGATGATTGTTTTCCTTTATTGATCTTGGTGATTGATCAACCCGTCGACGTGTTAAAATGTACCCTTAATAAACCCAAGCATTTAGTTTTAGATAATCAATTTTGAAATCTGACTCAGAGTTAAACAACAAAAATCCTGATACAAACTTGATTCAATTCCAAAAAATTTGTTTACGTTTTAAAGTTTTTTGTAATCGCTATAAAATATTTTTGTGAAATGAAAAATATTTTATTTTATGTTTCTAGTATTTTAATATGGCGTACTTGTTTTTGAATGGTTTTTGTATTGGCGATAATATTCAAAATTTGACCTTAGTATCATATTAGAAATTGTTTATGTATGATATCTCTAAGTCCTCCGACAAAGTAAAAGCGTAAATTTCAAAATTCATAAGTTAGCGTCAAATGAAATTGACATGTCCTTCAGCTTATATTAATCTGTTTTCAGCAATCATATATCTCTTATCCTTTAAACGAGCAATTCTTGTATATATATATATATATATATATATATATATACATATATATATATATATATATATAATCGGAATCTCGGAAAACGGCTCCAAGCGGCCTCAAAACAGACGGCCGTGGTTCGCGTCACGATCATTTACACATTTATTTTTTTACTTTTTTTCGATTCCAGATCATTGCTTTCTTTATTTTTAATTTTTTTGTCGATTTTTTATTTTGTTATGTTTTTTTTCCTTTTTTTTAAAGTTCTTTCTTTTGTGAAAAACATCAGTTCATATTTTCTTATTATTACGTCGGTAAGATCGAAAAATATTATGCATATTTCATTACTCAATAATTTGTATCTAAATGTAATTTCCAAAATACACGATTTCCCAAAAAAAAAAAAAAAAAACCGAGCAAAGCTCGGTCCTCCGGGTACTTTAAATTAATAACACGTCTTAGCAGTGCGTTTCGTAAGTGCGGCTTATGAAGCAAATGTTTGTGATTTTCTTACAAAAGTTTGTGTTTTTGGAAAATGAAATTAACTTCAATGGTTTTATTATTGACTCCATAGTTACGTAAATTTCTGTTTAAAATTCTGTTGTCTATAAAGGTTTCTAACATGACAATTTTAGAGATTAAAAAATATATTGTGTTAACCGAAAAGTAGTAAAAAGAATTTTGATGAATATTTGTGAAAAATGTTCCACCACAATAACCTTAAACAATTCTTCATGGATTATAACCAAATCTACGAATGGAATGTGAACTTTACTTTTCCGAAAAGATTTCTTTTTCCGACAAAACTATTTTGACCCAAAATTTAAGTAGCCCGTTGAGATTCACTTACCTTTAGGTGCTCCTTTGTTAATACCAAATTTGGAACCTCATTTCAAATTAAAGTTAAATCAATTTTTAGATCATGTTATCAAATTGTTTTTACTAAATTCGCATATTTTGCTTACATTGCGACATTGCAAGAATGTCTTGGCTTTCTATCTGCTCCAACGAAAATATCCCATTGGAAGTAAACCTACAAAAACAATGGAATGTTCCTTTGGCGCCGAGAGTACAGAAAGATACGTTTCAAACTTTAGAAAGTAATTTAGAGCGTGCCCGTTTCCTAGGCGTCTCATCTTAAGAATCGAGTTATTGGCTTCACACTTTACCATCAAGTAACTTGGGTACATTACTTGACGATGAAAGCTTACGCGTTGCTGTTGGAATCCGTCTGGGGGCACCGATTTATCAACCACACCAATGCCCTTGTGGGGTCAGTGTAGACAAATTTGGTCTCCACGGGCTTTCTTGTCAAAAAAGTGCTAGCCGCTTTTCCCGCCACGGTTCCCTGAATGACATTATCCGTAGGGCTCTTGCTTCCATCAATGTTCCATCTATTTTAGAGCCCTGAGGAATTTTTCGCTACGATGGTAAGAGACCCGACGGTTTTACTTTGATCCCTTGGGTTAGGGACAAAGCCCTTGTTTGGGACGCCACTTGTGTAGACATTTTGGCTGCCTCTCATCTAAGGGGTACTTCGGTCAGGGCCGGGATGGCATCGGAGGCAGCTGAAGTAAGTAAATGGCGCAAATATGAGTATTTATGCTTAGATTATGTATTTGTGCCATTTGCCGTTGAAACTTTAGGTCCATGGGTTCCCCGCACATTATTTTTTTTTGTAAAGTATATGTCCTATACTAAACGCCGCGGTTGATGGTAGCTAGCGTTCTTGGCACCATAAAGCGTGGATTAGATTAATTAGATAATATGTAATTTTAGTTATAATCTTGTAAATATTATATCAATAAACTGTATAACCCCGTAAAAAAATCTACGTATTTTACCTAGATTCGCTAACTGTCCCATTTCTTGATGGGTTGTGAGTACGTAAAATAGCCACACTCATCTTGACTACCAAGATTTAGCCTAAATGTAATATTTTAATGATATTAAATTACTACATTAAGTCCAGCGCAGCGATTTATTTAGTATACCTATTAAAGAAATTTCTCATTTGCTTCGTTCCAGTATCTAATATCAAGTTATCCTAATTAATTAGTTCACCTCTTCTTCAATGGTTATTTCAAGAACTTTACCGTCCAATTTACAGTTTGCCGCTTTATTCATATAAAAAGTGATTCATATTTATAATATAATTCTTTGCTTACACGTTCAAACCGTTCTATTGCACAATTCCAATTGACGGAGCATTGAAAACGGACACATCCTGTCTCATGCCGCGATAGTGTAACCGCCTCGTTCATCCCAATGAAGCAAACGTGTGACAAGCATTTTGATTTGTACTGTGATTTGTACAAGTGTACGAGCTCAGCTCGCGAGCCGGTCCCACTACTAGGAGGCACATTTGCCCTTTTCTTGTTGGTCGTTCTTTTCGCTAGCTGCCCCTGGAACTGCAATACTGCAGTTGCCGATTCCTTGGCCAGATTGGGCTTGGTAACACAACGGACTGCCATTCGACGGAGTTATACGCACCAGAACGTGGAGACAATGCGTGACCAGGACGCCGACGAGCACGGTCGCCACAATACCAGTTATGAGGCCCGCGCGGGCGAAGGCCTGCGGCATCGCTAGTATCCCGGTGCCAAGGCTGCACTTGAGCAGGTGAACCAGCGTCTCGATATCACTGTAATATGACACCCGTGTCGTCAATGCGCCAATACGCGCCGTCGCATTTAGATCCAAACAGTCAACATGCGAACAAACACTCATGCGATATGAAAAGACAAAAAATAATAAGCATTCATGGGGACTGTCGACAGAAGTGAAAACTCAACTTGAGCAAGGTTTTTACGTTTAATTTAAAAATGTAATTTTAAAATACAAAAATATTAAATTTCAATTTATTGTATGAACATTTACAAAAAACTGTTACAATAAACTATATAGCAATTTATATTGCCAAAGGATTTATTTGATTTTTAAAAATTAAATGTAATAAATAACCATAATAGTTAGGGTAATTATATTCTTTATAAAATTTTAAACAATTAAGAAAAACTCTCAGACACTCCACACTTCTGCGTTCTTCTGGTGAGTGAAGTTACCGCAACCGGGGCCCATTGAATTAAAAGGTGTCAACGTTTTAGTAATCCGATAACACATAATAAAATTTTTTATCCGTACATAGACATTTTTGTAAGTTTTACGTCCTAGGCTTAACGCCACGGCTGGTGATAAGAGTGCTGGTCTTTTCTCGCCTAAAGGTTAGCATAACTTTTTAGCGAGGAAATGTAGCGAGTGTTCTTGGCACCATGCCGCTTGGACTTTGACTTGGTTTATTAGATATCATGTATTTTAGATAGATTTAATGTTGTACATAAAAATCAAACTAAGATCAAATAAAAAAAAAAACATCAAATAAAAATAATATCAATACTTTAATGTCAACGGCAAGGCACGTGACATTAACAGGTCGGACGTGAACCTTTGACAGTTTTTCTCCTATCGAAAATTGCTCCAAGTCTCCATAGATGTTTTCACTTCAAAAATGTCTAAATTATTGATATGTATAGTAAATAAATGTACTATAGTATTATTATTATACATACATATGCTATAGTCTAAACGTATGTAAACTTGATTTTAGAATCCGAAACTATAAAAATTATTCTTACTTAGTTGGTTTCTCAAGCTGCCGATGGAGATGCGGGTCGTAATCCTCATCAGAATTGTCCTCTCTAAAGCAATGGAATAACTATCAAAGCATAATTAAATTATAAGTCAATCAATAACTTCGGTAAAGGTAAATAACTTTAACTCCGGCGTAATTCAAATAAAATAAATTTTAAACGATAGAGATAAATCTCTAATGAATTAATCAACAAGCAGAATTCGGCGGTCGCTTATAGTTTTCGAGAAAAAAAAAATTTTAAACTTGTTTTTTGTACTAAGAAATCCACCATTTTATTTGTTTGACTTCAAAAACTCATTACACAGTTCTGCCAACATGATAAATATAGGAAGCGGGCGACATCATACACGTATCGATATTCCGATTTTGTTTTAATTTAATGAGCCACAGAACCGACACAGAACGAATCCGACTCGGATAGATTAGGTTAGAAGGTTCAGGCGGGAGTTTCGATGTTAGGTTTTTCTTTTATGACCACCAAGAAATACGAGCTGAATTGAGATATGAACAACAAAAAAAAACTTTTTTAAAATACTCACATTTTTATATCATCGGCGGGTAGAGGACACTCACACTCTTCCAGAAATGGTGCAAACGTTCTCCAGGTTCGGGGAAAATTTTACGAAATCGTGCCTCAACCAGATAACCAATGAAGTCCACATTTAAAACATTTAACAATATTTACAAGAACTCCATGACGACACAAAAAATTTAAAAGGTCTAAATGATCTGATTCTGATTTGAATAAAATTTTATAAAAAGAATAAAAAGTTAAATTACAATATGTACATAAAATATCACTACTACTAGTAGACGCACAAATATTATCCGTCATTGCAAATACGAATAACCACTATTCTATTGTTTTTATATAATTAAATAATGAGCGGGAAATACTTCCGGTTTAAATTTAACATACGATTAAGCACCGAAAAAATTATATACAGCCAATATACTAATATCGATTTTGAAACTCGATTACAAATTTTATTAAATCTTGGTTAAAAGCCCTTAACTTAATAAAAACTAAATATCAATGTATTATAAACTAAATATAATAATGAAATTGCATTTTTTATATTTATTTTCATTACAAAGCTTTTAAAATCTTCATCTTTAACTTATTTGTTGTTTTATGTAAAAAATAATAAATATTCAAAATTAATTACTTCTTTATAAAGTTTGACCCTTCCACGTGTCCGCCAGAACACTCGCTATGTCGCCCCTGAGTGTCGCTTCACCCTCCGACGCGAGGTTCTGGCTCCGCCTTATTATGTTCACTCTAGGGGTAGGGACCACAAGACCACATGGAGTCGGGGTGCTCTGTGTCGGATCTGGGACTCATTTTGAACCTTATCTAATCGGAAAAGGGTCCGTGATAAATTAAAAAGATGCAACCTAACCAATTAGTAAATAAATGTTAAACCTAATTTAGCTTATTTCACAGTAATTTAAATTGTAAAAAAATTTAATCGATTTATAATCAATATAAAATTTTAAAAAATGTCCATAATATTTCAATATGAATAATGTTGGTTTATTTGGTATTGGCGCCTAATATTTAAGAGTTTTCTTGGATTATAACCTAAACTATATTTGATTATTAACATTTCTCTATCGATTAAAATTTTTTTCGAGTCGGAAAATGAAACATTGATTGAAATATTTAGGAAAAAAAAAATTAATGGAATAATCGCTAGGACATGACGTCGCCCGCTTCCTATATTCATCATGTTGGCAGAACTGTGTATTAATTACGTTGGCGAATGGCGGACTTTGTTAGTGAAAATAACAAGTTTTAAATATTTATTTCTCGACAACTATAAGCGACCGCCGAATTCTGCTTGTTGATTAATTCATTAGTGATCCCTCTCTATCGTTTAAAATTTATTTCAATTGAATTACGCCGGAGTTAAAGTTATTTACATTTACCATAACTTCATTAGAGAATTATTTGAGTATAGCGAAATTAAGATATTATTCAACGTCTTCATAGGTTTTATATTATGAGTTATTTGTTCACAATAAAATACTTTTTAAATGAGTAGGATGCCTATGCTGCTAAATCGCAAAGAGCTTTCTCGCTACTTGCATGTACTGTACGGAAAATGCATATTATGTTTTTTTACGGATTTCGGATTTTTACGGACCAGTTACAACAAGGGAGGAAAATAGGTGTTCAGATACAAATACTATAAATATGATATTCACAATTTTAACAATACAAATAGTCTAGTAATAGAGCGCTTTTTTAAAAACATAAATTGAGGTTAACTTCCAAAAGTATATTTTTTAAAATATCACACATTTCTTAACACTTATTAGTCACTTTCGTCCTGACAAGGACAAAATTTAAATTTAAAAGAGACCCTGCAGTCTTGTTGTGGCTTATACTCACTTGTCGGGGCAGGCAGCAGCTGTGTCATTCGACATTGGCTGCAAGCGGACTGTTTCCATCTTCTCTTCCATTGCGTTGAAGCTGACACCAAATGAAAAAGTAAGCAGTAAATAACCTCAATATTTGTAATGGTATTTGATTTTTTTTGTCAAACAAACAGGCGGGCACCCGATGCTCAGTTCCAGATCGTCGCACTCCAACATCGTTGTTGCATCGTTGGCAATCATAAGTGGTCTGGGTACGGGTAAGTGGTCTGGGTACAGGTAATTGGTCCGGTACAAGAAGAAACACGTATCAATAAAATTTGTTTACGTTAAGTACAGACACCGTGCGGTTTAATCGTGTTAGGGCCGAGGGCGCTTTCGACCAACATGAAGGATGGCATCCAAACCGATATAAGGTAACAATTAACATTTCCCAGGGGACAATGCGCTCCGTGAGACAATAAAAGTAAAAGTAAAGTAACAGCCTATAAATGTCCCACTGCTGGGCAAAGGTCTTCTCTATACAGAGGGTATCAGGGCATATTCCACCACGCGGCTCCACTTCGGATTGGCGGACTTCACATATCTTCGAAATATATATGTTTTTTGTTATTATTTCGAAAATATGCAGGTTTACTCACGATGTTTTCCTTCACCGCGGAGGACGTGATAAGTCAGCAATTAAAGTTAAAAACTTCATTGGTGCCAGCACCGGGGATCTAATTCAGGTTGCTCGAGTATATTGAATTAAAGGCGAGCGCCCGGACACTGAGCTTTCACGGCTCTTGAGACAATGCTCGGGTTTGATTTGCCCGCACGTGCACCTGCCGTGGTCTTGCGGCCTGTATGTGCATGAAACGCAAAACTATGAATATTGATACTTATGAAAAACTATGAAGATTAATACTTTTTATGGCAGATGTTTTTGAAGCAAATCCACAGACGAACCATCCATGCGTTGCAGAAGGAGTAGCTTTACTGCTTTGAAACAAATGTTTTGATCATTGCAATTTAACCCAGAAGAAAAAAATTCATTAATTAATTAAAAACAAGAAGAAATTTCTAATAATTTAAGGAGCTACGAAATTTGTAAACTACTATGAGGTAGTATTGTCAAAAGGCTATTTTTTTTAAGTCGTATGACCTGAAAAGTACTTAATAAGTACTTATAGTCAAGACATTATTTTTTATAGTCAAAGTATATTTATTCAATATAGGCCTAACTTAAGCTCTTATTAAACGTCAACAAAAAATCTACCACCGGTTCACTAAACTAGACCTGCACAGAGAAGAACCGGCAAGAAACTCTGCGGTCTTGTTCTTTTTATTATATTTTTTTTTGATGAAATTATACACACTTATTTAGGTATAAAATCAGCAGCAACCAAGGGTCTTGCAAGTGCAGAGCAAGAGTCATTTCCAAACATCCTTGTCCTCAATGTATTCTTGGATATTATAGTAGCCCCTTGCCATTAAGGTAACTTTTACAAATTGTTTGAAATTGTTTATACTTAGTTGTTTGTGGATGTCACCTATTTTATTATAAAAGTTGATGCATCTTCCAAGAAACGACTTTCTGGTTTTAGCCAATCTAAACCCCGGTACTTCCAGGGTGTCACCACGGCCCCGACGCGATGTGGATTGTTTTTTCTTTTTACGTACATACATGATGTTCTCAAGTATGTAAAGCGACGGGAGCATCAAAACGTTTATTTGAACGTTCAAACGTGGACCTAAGCCATAGACGGCCCGTATAGCCTGCTTTTGTAATACAAATATTCTGTCTAAACCGGATGCGGAACCCCAAAGTAAGACACCATAGGACATTATGCTGTGAAAATAAGCATAATAAACTAATTTAGCTGTTTCCTCGTTAGTTAGCTGCCTGATTTTGCGTATGGCAAAGACGGCAGCGCTCAATTTCTTAGCTAACTTATCTACATGAAATCCCCATTGCAATTTGGAGTCAACGCTTATTCCAAGAAATGCTGTTGAATCCTCAAGGGGTAGGATTTTCTCATCAATAGAGATTCTTGATTGGTGACACAACTTTGAAAGAGTAAATCTAATACATTTTGTTTTATTGGAGTTCAAAAGTAAGTTATTGGTAGCAAACCAGCCAAACACAACATCTAGTATTTCATTTGGTTGTTCCAGTGCATCATCTTTCCTTTTAACTTTAAACAGTATTGAAGTGTCATCCGCAAAAAAAAACAATTTGAGACCTTTTTTCCACTATATAGGCAAATCATTAATATAAACTAAAAACAGAAAAGGGCCCAGGATCGATCCTTGAGGAACGCCCATTTTTACTTTTGACCCCGTTGACAGTATACCATTTATGATTACTTTTTGTTCCCTGTCAGTAAGATATGAGGAAACAAAGTCAATGGCACTATTTCGAATACCATAATATTTCCTGATTAGAATTGTATGATCTACACAGTGAAATGCCTTGGAAAGGTCACAGAACACACCAATGGTGTCATCAAAGCTTTCCCAGGACTGCAGGATATGTGAAACTAATTCTATCCCTGCATCAGTTGTAGATCTACCTTTAGTAAATCCAAATTGGTGCTGGTTTAAAATTTAATATTTGTTAAAATACTGTTTGATTATATACAAGAGTTTTATGTGTTTATACTTTAGTATAATGAAAATTCTTAAATCTCGTCTGCTAGGTAATATTTAAAAGGTTGAAAGAATATAGCCTTACCAAGTTCTATCTTTAGTTTTGAGTTACAGTTGAGATATTACACCTACCAAAAACAATAAAACTATGTACCTACTATTCTAAACTTCTTTCCTTTTCTTGGATTCTATTTTGTAATACACAATTCACAGCAGTTTATAGATCCTATCAAGTTCCACAATCGGAACTGAAAGATCAACGGGAATTAACAAAGATTTTTATATATGATAACTTGACACTTTTCTGGTGCATATATAAAATTGGTATGGATACGTATAAATTTATATAAATATGTAGATATTAAGTATATTAATATCTCCAACTATATAAATTTACATTTAATATATAAATGTACATCAAACCATAGGTCATTTACGAAGTTAAAGAATAACCAACATATTTTTACTCTAAGTAGGTATGGTGTGATTCTTAAACGTACTATATTGAATTTTACCATGGGGATATAATATTTTATCGCAGTAGAAACAATCCTATCTCACTCTTCAGCCTCCATCTTCACACTTAAAAATCAAACCATTACATCGCTCCGTTGCAACGTTAAAGAAGGACAAACATATACACTTTCGCATTTATAACATTAGTTTTGACAATCGGTAAATCGACAAAATATTCTTAATGAAACAAAAGTTCTAATTTCTGGCGTAGGCAGACATAAACTAGTGCTACGTTCGAGTTTGTCAAGGTATTGAGCTTGAGGGTATCAGTTAAGGTCGTCGTTATATTTGAGGATATAAGTAGGAAGTACCAAAAATCAGAAAAAAACTCGTCATTGTTATTTGAAGCATCGTCATTTTTAATTATAATATATCTATACACTATATGCGGGCATCACTGGCTTTGTCTAAAATTTTGAAGTAATACTAGAGAGTATGGTACAAGTGACAAGGAATATGAAATACTAAATGTATTGTAGATACTAAACTAAAAAAATTTAAATAAATTATTACTAGCATACATTTTAGAAAAAAAAATTGGTACGTAATAAACCGTTTTGTTATACGTTGTTCGTGTAATATCGTTGGCGGTGGCCACGCCTACGGTAGAGTATTCGCGATGTCAGAAGTTATGTAAATAATGCTATTTAAAAACTTCAGTCGAAACAGGGCCATTGTATTGAGGGCGGGCGTCTATGTCGTCCAATTATGATTTTTGTGTATCTTTTAAGAATCGCTTTTAAGAAACAAATAAATATTGTGTAAGTATAACTACATTATGCGGCAAA